GCCATTCTCCTGCCTCAGCCTCCCGAGTAGCTGGGACTACAGGCACCCGCCACCACGCCAGCTAATTTTTGTATTTTTAGTAGAGATGGGGTTTCACCGTGTTAGCTAGGATGGTCTCGATCTTGCCTCACAAAGTGCTGGGATTACAGGTGTGAGCCACCACGCCCAGCCTCGCTGCCTCCTTTTTATATAACTTAAAAAAATCTGTTTGCGAAATTATCACATGGTTATTTCCTTAAATTTATAAAATACAGAAATAGACCCCCCCAAAAAATAAATAAATAAATAAAAGGGACGTAAGTCCAACATGCTTAGAGAACAGTGACGTGGGTGTCCAGTCTGCTTCTGAGTTTGGTTGTCTCTGTCAAAATTTGACTCTTCTGTGGCTTTCTTCTAGCAGATGAAATACATTCTATTTCAGAGGACAGTTTTTTATACTAGTAGTTGAAATTACAATTGTCATACTCAAAAAAATTAATGTCTATCTGAAATGTACTAACCATAATAGGAATCCCATCCATCAACACTATTTTTTAATCCACATTTTCCATAAGGCTTCACATGTTCCATTGCAAGATTTTACTTGGCACTTGTCTTTTACAACCTAGCTAGGTAGTATGGCAATTTAAAAATAGAACAGGTGACAACTTTCTTTTCTTTTGACATAATATGGTATGTAGAAGGTGAAAGGATTTACTATGTAAAATCCAGGAGCTGTAGTTTAATACATTTAACAACTCATTTTTATTAGAGTGATGAACTCAAACTGGTTTCTCCTGGTGATGGGTTGTGGATGAATTTTTGTTATTACATCAACAGTTTTAGGTTTCCATCTAGAGGCTCCTGGATTAAAATACAATTAAATTGAACCATAGCAATGCCAGTACTGTAGAATAAGTTTTAAGATGTGGATTATCATACACATATTTGTGTCAGTAAAAAAATGAATTATCCCAAAGTTTGGAGGGAAATTCATGAAAATGTTCATTGCATTTGTGGCTTAGTCATGGGACATGTATTATTTTTTTCCTACCCTTCAGCCTACAAATTTCCTTTTTTTTTTTTTTTTTTGAGACAGAGTCTCATTCTGTTGCCCAGGCTGGAGTACAGTGGCGCTATCTCGGCTCACTGCAAGCTCCGCCTCCTGGGTTCACACCATTCTCCTGCCTCAGCCTCCTGAGTAACTGGGACTACAGGTGCCCGCCACCATGCCCGGCTAATTTTTTGGTTTTTTTGTTTGTTTGTTTGTTTGTTTGTTTTCAGTAGAGACAGGATTTCACCGTGTTGGCCAGGATGGTCTTGATCTCCTGACCTCGTGATCCGCCCGCCTCGGCCTCCCAAAGTACTGGGATTATAGGTGTGAGCCTCTGCGCCCAGCCTTCAGCCTACAAATTTTATTTTACACACCTTTATTGCTTTTTTGGTGGGATAATTTTTAAAAAAGGATAAATTGTGTCTAAAGTTTCCTCTTTTGATAAGCCTATTACAAACCCATTTGGATTGTACACTGAGCCTGTAGAAAGAAGGAAAGAGCAGGCTGCCCCAGATCTGCAGCCAGGTGGCACCTCTACTGGGATCAGTGCTTTTTACTTGTTAACGTATAAGCCTTTAACGGAGTTGTCCCCAGCCTCGTGTCTGAGTGTGTTCGTCTGAGGCCAGCTGCTGAGAGGTGGTAGCGTGCTCTTCCAGCTGTGTGAGTTCATGCAACTCACCCAACCTGTGTGGGCCAAAATGTCCCATCTGTAAAGCAGGCACTGAACCTACACGCAGCAAACTGAATTAGTGCATGTGCATGAACTGTGCTGTACAGGAGAAACTCAATAAATGTCACTTTTCCTGTTAGTTCCCTGGTGACACTCTGTGCCCCGGATTCTCCATCCATTAGGTGGGGTGATCATGCCTCTCGCAGGTGGTTATGAGGAAGATGACTGTGTGATCATCCAGAGGTGGTCACCTGTTGAAGGGCTTCAGAAAAGATGCCCACTGACATCACAGCACCCATGGGCCCTGGTGGGCAGGCCCTGGTGACCCTCTTCTCTGTGCAGGCTCTGCGAGAGGGACCCCTACCAGCTGTACCAGCGTCTGGAACAGCAAGCTCGAGAGTACGTGCTAGAGATGAAGGTCCGCCTGCTCCGGCAGCTGTCGGCTGCAGCCAAGGTGAAGGCACCATCTGGCCTGCAGGGTCCGCCACAAGCGCACCAGTTCATCTCCCTCCTGCTTGAGGAGTACGGCGCCCTCTGCCAGGCTGCACGCTCCATCAGCACCTTCCTTGGCACTCTGGTAAGAGAGAAAACGTGTGTTTTTCTTTCTGTTTGGATGAACTGAAGAGAAGAGAAGCATGTGGCAGGAGGAAGCTTCTCATGCTTATATGCTGACCTCGCTGTCGCACCCCCACACACTGTCATAGGCCCCTCTCCTCTGTGGGAGAGGACCTGTTTCCTCTCCTGTTTGTCTTTCCTCTCCTGTTTGTCTTTCCTCTGGACTTTGCCACTGGATAAGAGCATTGGGTGGATTGATAACCAGGTGTCACCTCATGGAAGTACCGTTTGGAGGACCTTGAGGCCCAGGGAATGAGGCATGGGGCAGTTTGAGGGGAGCACCTGTGTGTGTGCCTTTATAAGGAGACAGAGAAATCTCCAGTGTCCTACTTAGGTTGTTCATTCTTTTGTTGCTGTAGACAGAGCTGTTATTAGGTGAAATGCCCATGAAGAGCGTGAAGGCTGTAGAGAACAACTTGTTTACAGCCCAGTGGCATTCATTCATTCATGCATGCATGCATTCACCCAATAAGCCAGCACTGAGTTAAGGATCTGCTTGCAGTCTCAAGACAGGCCCTGTCCCCATCCTTGCCAATGGGGATCTGGCAGTTGTAACAAGAGAGACACACAGATGGGACTGGCCCCCTCAAAAGAGGAATCACCATATTGGGTGGAAGGAGCATGGTATAGAAATATGGTTACGGGTACGCTGTGGTCAATTCTCAACAGCCTTAGTGCCCCCGTGGTTTGGAAGGAGACCATGCGTCCCAGAGATAAGCCCTCAAAGCTTCCTTGACTGTTACTATTCGTCTGTGGAGTTTTTCATCATCATTTAAACTTTATTATTAAATAATACTTACGTGTGTTTGGGTGCTAGTTTTAGGTGCTTTCTTTCTTTAAATAAAGAAAGGAATTTATTTATTATGGTTAGGAAGGCTGAGAAGTCCAAGTTTGAGGGGCCACATCTACCCATGTAGATAGGTAGAGCCTTCTTGCAGGTGGGGACTTGGACTCTGAAGAGTCCAGAGGTGGTACAGGGCATCACATGGTGAGAGGGCTGAGCATCTAGTTTTGGGTGCTTTCTTAGTGGTAAAACTACATTTTGAAACAAACATAGTAAGCACCGGCATTGGTCTTTACCTGATTCTCAAGTTGATGGACCCTCTTGAAAAAATTTACATATAGCCCGGGCATAGTGGCTCATACCTGTAATTTTGGGATTTTGGGAAGCCAAAAGTGGGAGGATCGCTTGAGCCCAAGAACTTGAGACCAGCCTGGGCAACATGGGGAAACCCCATCTATACCAAAAAAATTTAAAATTAAATTAACCAGGCGTGATGACGCGTGCTACTCAAGAGGCTGTGAGGCAAGAGGATCATTTGAGCTCAGGGTTGAGGCTGTGGTGAGCCAGTGCACTCCAGCCTAGGCAAGAGAGTGAGATCCTATCTCAAAAAGAAAAGAAAAAATTACATACATATAATTGTAAGTCATTTCAGGGGGTTCACAGCCTTCCTCAAGCTTCACTGCACCAAGCCATGGGGAGGTATCTATTCTGAGAAGAGGTAGCGAGGTGAAAGGGTAGGGTGAGGGGTGGGGGCGGGGTGGGGGGCAGTTATCCTGTTTCAAGGTCTGAGTCCACTGGGTAGTGCCACCAGGCTTCCTTCTGGTACCTCTTCCTTCCTCTGGCATCTCTCGCAGCACTGCCTCCCCATCTCTACCTGAGAGTCTGCCCGCCCTTCAGAGGTTCAAATCCAGAGCCCCTCCTCTGTCTTTTACAAGAACATTGGCTCAGGTTAAGGAGGATGCTGTCCAGCCCACCTAAACCTGGTGCCCAGAGAGACTCTGGTAGTGAAGAGAGCTGCTGCTGCTCTCCAGAAAGTGCTGGGGAGGTCTGTGCCTCCTCACATAGTTACTGTAGGATACTGTTTTATGAAGCTGACAAAAATTAATTTGATTATTAGAGCAAATTCCTAGCAGTTTACATAGAAATAATTTATTGTGGCTTGAGGCCGGGTGCAGTGGCTCACACCTGTAATCCCAGCACTTTAGGAGTCCGAAGCGGGTGGATCACCTGAGGTCAGGAGTTCGAGACCAGCCTGGCCAATATGATGAAACCCCATCTCTACTAAAAATACAAAAATTAGCCGGGCATAGTGGCAGGCACCTGTAGTCCCAGCTACTTGGGAGGCTGAGGCAGGAGAATCGCTTGAACCAGGGAGGCGGAGGCTGCAGTGAGCCAGGATCGTGCCACTATACTCCAGTTGGGGTGACAGAGCGAGACTGTCTCACACACACAACAAAACAAAACAAAAGAAGAAAAAAAGAATTTCTTGTGGCTTGAAAAAAATGCATATACTCTGAAGCTGTTTGATCAGTGTCTTTTTTCACTTCCTTTACACATAGAAATATCCACATTGATTTCTAGGGGTCCAGCAGACTAGATAGCCTTAACTATTCCTTCCTTCAAGGGAAACAACTGAATTTACTAGATAATTAAAAAATAAGCCGGGCGTGGTAGCTTACGGCTGTAATCCCAGTATTTTGGGAGGCCGAGGTGGTTGGATTACCTGAGGTCAGGAGCTAGAGACAAGCCTGGCCAACATGATGAAATCCTGTCTCCACTAAAAATACAAAAACTTAGCCAGGCATGGTGGCACGCGCCTATAATCCCAGCTACTCGGGAGGCTAAGGCAGGAGAATCGCTTGAACCTGGGAGGTGGAGATTGCAGTGAGCCGAGGTTGTGCCACTGCGCTTCAGCCTGGGCAACAAGAGCAAAACTCTCTCTCAGAACAAAGATGAAATGTTTTAAAGTGTATAACTGAGATGGCATGAAAGGGAATAAGTTGTAGTGGTGAAAAACCAGTTGAAAGCTGGAATCCTGAGAAATACATGGGCTTGAAAGTCAGCATTTGCTGCGGGGATTTCTTCTGATCCCGGAGACAAGATACAACCTAGCCCAGGATGGGGTCTGCACATAATGCCAGGACTGTAAGTGACAACACCCTCAGTAAGGTTGAAGTGGAAACTCCGGGCACTGAAAGGGACAGCAGGGATCATTCAGATTTGAAAAAATTAAAACTAGAAACAAAAACATAATTTTCTGGAAAAGCTTAATGGATAGATGAAACAGAATAAACAGCTGAAAAGAGAACTGGTGAGTTGCAAGAAGGAAGTACAGGAATTCTATAGAATGTAACTCAAAGAAACAAAGAGATGGGCCACGGAAGAGAGGTTGAGACCTGAAGGATGCAGTGAAGATGTCTAGCCACCAGTAATCAGAGTCCCCAAAGAGAAGCAGAATAAGTGTGGAGATGATAGCTGAGAAATTCTCAGAATTACTGAAAAATACTAGTGTTCAGCAAGGAAGCTTATCAGATTTCCCAAGTAAAATGTTGAAAAAGCCTTCTCTGGATATAGGATAGTGACAGCTACAGAACATCAAAGAAAAAGTGATCTCAAACACAAAATACAGGACTTCATTGAAAATGGTCTGCGAGATGTTGTAATGTAGAATTCTGGATTCTGGGTGGAGACTACAGCGAATCTCTATGTACTCCTTACCCAGATCCACAGTTAATCAGCATTTTGCCACTCTGACTTCATTATGCCTTCTTTTTCTTCCACTTTCTCTTCCACCCTCTTTTTGATGCAGTATTTTAATATGGGTTCCAGACAATGTGCCTTTTTGTCTTAGAATATTCCAATAAGTGTCTCTAAAAATAGTCATCCATTATCTTACGTAGCCACAGTTCCATTGTCACATCCATGAAGACTGACAGTAATTTCTTATCGACTAATGCCAGCCAATCTCTTTATGGTTGGGTTACTCCAGTCAGGACCCAAAAATCTTCACACATTTATAGCCACATTATTACACTGCCATCCAGTGATCTATGCAGTACCAGCTTAAGATAAACTCAGTGTCTCAGGGCAGTAATTCTCAACAGTTTTGGACTCAGGCCCCTTAATACTTAAAAATTTAGGACCCCGAAGTGTGCTTTTTTATGCAGACTTATATCAGTACTTGCTTTATTGAAATTCAAACTGAGAAATTTTTTAAATGCTTATTGTCATTTTAAAAATGTAAGCTCTCATTAGATTACATAAATTGCATATTTCACATATATTAGAGAATGTAACAAGCAATACACTTTTATATTAGATAATGTAACATAAACCACACATGTAAAAATAACTGTTTTCCAGAATAAAACATTGTTGCCCAGGTTGGAATGCAATGGTGTGATCTTGGCTCACTGAAACCTCTGCCTCCCGGGTTCAAGTGATTCTCCTGCCTCAGCCTCCCAAGTAGCTGGGATTGTAGGTGCCGGCCACCACACCTGGCTAATTTTTTTGTATTTTTTTTAGTAGAGACGGGATTCCACCATGTTGGCCAGTCTGGTCTCGAACTCCTGACCTCAGGTGATCTGCCCGCCTTGGACTCCCAAAGTGCTGAGATTACAGGCATGAGCCACCGCACCCGGCCAACACATTTCTTAAGAAGAGTGGGTCACTCACACCTCTTAGATCTCTCTGTAGAAGCAGTGGGAGCTTCATCTTCTGCATTCAGTCTGTTGTCATAGGTTGTCTGGTTGAAGTTACTGAAGAAAATTCAACTTTTTACAGATACGTAGTTGGAAAAAGGAAGAATAATTTTTCTTTTTTTTTTTTTTTTGAGATGGAGTCTTGCTCCGTCTCAAAAAAAATCTCGCTCTGTCTCTTGTGATCTCGGCTCACTGCAACCTCTGCTTCCTGGATTCAAGTGATTCTCCTGCCTCAGCCTCCCGAGGAGCTGGGTCTACAGGTGGGTGCCACCACATCAGGCTAATTTTTTGTATTTTTAGTAGAGACAGGGTTTCACTGTGCTAGCCAGGATGGTCTTGATCTCCTGACCTCGTGATTCGTCTGTCTTAGCCTCCCAAAGTGCTGGGATTACAGCCGTGAGCCACCGCGCCCTGCCAGGAAGAATATTTTAATAGCCTCTTCAAATCCTGGTAGATTTCTCTGAGAGTACACCAATGCGTGAGAGTTTCTTAATGGTTAGTTGCGATGTAGAGTCTGAAACTATATCACTGAACTTACCCTACTCTGTTCCATTCAAGTCCACAGGTTCCAGCTCACTCCATGAATGGACTCCCTACTTATACATGTTTTTCTAGTGTCATTCATAGGTCATTTTGCAAATATTGGTTCACTGAATATCTTCTGGATGTTGACACTTTTATTAATATAAAAAAATGATATTTGTTCGTATCACCACTGATCTCATCAGAAAGGCCTTTAAGTGTATAGGACCTTTCAAGCCAACAGCAGCAAATGCAAATTTTCTGAAGTTTTCTTTTTTGCTTGAAAGCTCAGATTTTATGATTAGCCACAGATTGTGTCACTTGTTTTCTTTGAAGCAACATGTTAATTTGCTGTACAAACTCTGCCAGCTAATTAGCTCCTCTGTGAACAGCATCCCCATTCTGCTGTTTTTGCTGAACTCAGTGGATGCTTTTGGACATAGAAAGATGTTCTCAGAAATGCAACTTCACTGGAGAATGCCCTCATGTGAGGTTTATTCTACACTGCCTGGGGGATCAAACTGGATAATGAGTCACATTTTTTGTACTTTAAATATTAAAATAAAATTGGGGGACTGGGCGTGGTGGCCCACACCTGTAATCTCAACACTTTGGGAGGCCACCGTGGGCGGATTACTTGAGTGCTTGAGTCCAGGAGTTCAAGACCAGCCTAGGCAACATGGTGAGATCCCGTCTCTACAAAAGATATAAAACTTAGCTGAGCATGGTAGTGCACACCTGTAGTCCCGGCTACTCAGGAGGATGAGGTAAGAGGATTGCTTGAGCCCGGGAGGCGGAGGTTGCAGTGAGCCAAGATTGCACCACTGCACTCCAGCCTGTGCGACAGAGCGAGACCCTGTCTCAATCAATCGACCAATCACTCAATTTTTTTTTTTTTAAGAAATCTAAAAAAAATAATAAAATTGGCACGAGGCTTAAGTTATGCTTCTAGTCGTCTAGCAAACGCCTCACCAGGCTGTAATAGTGAAGTCTAAATTTTCGTCCACAAATAAGAAATATTCAAATATCCCGTTATTTCCGTCTGTTGTAGGAACTGCATTCTAAACGTCTTGTCTTCCTTCTTCCAAACCCCCAAGCCTTTTTTTGTAGTGGGAATCGAGAACAGTCTGCAAAGCCTGCCCTTAGGTCACTGACAAGCCTTTCTGCCTGTAGCCCAGGAGTTCTTCCATAGGCCTTACCTCTCGTAGGAGCTGTGACAACATATCCTGCAGAGCCCATGCCTGCATGCCCCGGTCCAGTTATTTGAGCCCCTCTATGCTGGTTCTACACCTGTCGATGGGGCATGGCAGGGCAGTACCAAATTCACAGGGAGCTTACTGGAGGCACTGAATTCAGCACTGAGGACAGTGCCTGGCCATGCTAGACACTCAGGTGGTAGCATGTGTTACTTAAGTAAACTCCAAGTTGATTTCAGGTTGTGAAGTGAGTCTGATATCTGTTTGTCTTGCTTGCCTCACCTAGAGGTGTAATTTTAGATTTTATTAAAAATGCTGAACATCTTTATAAATCGGCCTTTACCCAGTGACCACTAGCAGCTGGCCCAGAAAGCCAGATTTGTGATTCCACTCATAGGCAGGCAGGTGGAAATGGCTATCCTAGAGGTTTCCAATGGAGGCCAGGCAAAGCCTCAGCTCTTCCAGGAGGCCCCTCCATCAGCTGGTTGCCAGCCTGGTCTGATCCGGGTGCTGCATTCATTCCCATGTACTCTTTGTCCTGTAGCTGAATCGTAAGTCAGGTCACTGCCTACTGTTCTGTTCTTCGGGAACCCCTGGAGAGCAGCAGACTACTTTAGCAGGAGGTAGTCTTTGTGTCCTCGTACCTGGCACAGGGCCTGGGCAGCATGGGCTTGGCACTTCACCTGCTTCATTATTACGAGCTCATTTGTGGGTTCCAGCCCGGGGCTGGTTATCAGTTACCTGGCCCCAAGTCTCCTGCGACATGCATTTTTCCTGTACCGAATGTGCTTGCTCTGAGATATGCTTGGTGTGAAACAGGAGTGATGATGTTTCAATCTGGGAGGCACTGGTGAAAACACGATGAGGAAAAGTGTTGGAAATGTTAACAAAATGGAAGATTTGAGGTTTTCTACAGATGGCATAGATTCATTGCTGAATCTCTCAATCCTTGTGTTTCCAGGTATGAAAACAGCTATAACCAGCAAGGCTAGCACACAGTGGTCTAGCAGTATCACTGGTGTGCTGTCTCCAAATGTGTTTATAGGTGTTTACTTTGAAGAACAGAAGTTAATCATTATAATTTGTTCTCTCAGCCCCCATACCAACTAGGGTTATCAGGTGACATAACAATGAAATCTTTGTGTCGTTCATTTGCTAAGGTCTCCATCAACTCAGCTTGGCTATATTGTAAACAGGAGCAGACCTCTAAACCCAGTCCCTGTGAGTGACCCGACTCAGGAGACGTGGAGTAGCCAAGCATGATGAAGTGCAGCTTCCAGAGCTGGCGGTTGTTGAAGTCAGGAACATTCACCCAAAGATGTAACGTGATCTGAACACAAATAGTGTCCGTGTAGTTGACAGAGGGAAGCATGGATTCACACACGCATGGTTGTAGCAAGACTTATTAAATGTGACCATTACATTTAGGAAAGGTAATAATGGCATCAACCTCAGTGGTCTTGTGTTGGGGGCTTGCTGTACATTTTTGTTGACATGACTCTCTATGATGACTGGGACACTTCTAGGTTTTCATGGTATTGGCTAAAGTAATTGACGAGTTTGCCTATGTTTATTAGGAAGACAAAAAAAACTTTACCTCTAATAGGGTCTTGCAAGTGGAGAAATTGTGTGTATTAATTAGAATGGAAGGTTTCTCCAAATAGGTAAGAAAATTATTATCCTTTGGCATTGAGGGACTTGATGTATCTAAACTGTCTGAACTGTAAGGGCTATCATTACAATTTAAAAGTATAATTGTGAGAAATGACTCTCAAACGTTTGGTTACTGCTTTGTCTCTGTGTACACCTGTCACCCCTGTCTTTGCGGCCCTTCTAAACTTGCCATCTAGACTGACTACATGTCCTTGTAGTCGGAGTTCTGATCCACTGTGTGCCTTGGGACATACAGGGAACAGCACTTACCATAAGCTGAACGCTCTGAGCCTGTAAAGAGGGATGTGTGTGTGGTGTGGGGAGAGGGAGAGCGGGGAGGGAATCCCTTTGGGAATTTTCAAGTCTTTAGCAATTCACTACATACTCTGTTTATCTTTTTCTTTTTCTAAACTAGGAAAATGAACACTTGAAAAAGTTCCAAGTGACGTGGGAACTGCATAATAAACACCTGTTTGAAAATCTGGTCTTTTCAGAGCCACTTCTTCAGAGCAACTTGCCCGCACTGGTGTCACAAATCAGGTATTTGGCCTTAACCCGTATACGTCTTTGTGGTGTGACAGCACAGTCTTTTCTCCTGGCTGGTGTACCTGAGTACCACCAAGTATGAAAGTTCTTGCAGGAAAAATAACAGGGCTTAGAGAAAAAGATAGTTTGGGCCAAAAACTCAAAACCCGAGAAGTAATACAATTAAACTTTTAAATGCTACTAAGATTTAACACCATAAATTCCTCATACAGAAAAGCTACAGTAAATATAGCACTTTTCCTTGACAAGACCCATCCTTGGCCGGGCACCTGTGATGTGGTTCATGCTATGGCTCTTGGACATGCAGGGGAAGTGGAGGAGGGAAGAGGCCCAAGTCTGAGGGTGCCTGAGGCTCCCTGGATACAGCTTGGTGTCTCCTACACATTCCCGTGCTACCCGGGGCTCTGTGGTTTTGTCTCCTTGTGTAGCGCTTCCATATGGCTTCTTCACGCTAGGGAGGCTGGCTGGGTTCTGTGCTTTCACTGAGAAAGGGGTGCAGGTGCAGCAGTCACTCATGGCGTATCTGCTCGGGGTCATGTGTTTGCCCTGTGGTACCATGTTCAGTTAGGAGACGTGTTCCTCCGATGTGATGTCACTCAGCAGAACGCTGAGGTCAAGACCAGCCTGGCCAACATGGTGAAACCCCGTCTCTATTAAAAATACAAAAATTAGCAGCAAAAATTACAAAAATTGAACAGCAGAACCCTGTTCCCTGCACTGAGTCATGCATGAGCTACCACAGGTCTGCAGTTTGGTGATTTTGTTCTTTGGTGTTTTGTTCTATTTATCACGTGAGCACATTCCCATAATACAGACCCATCGTGACAGCAGCCATCTACATTTGACCGCATTAATACATACTTAGGGGCCAAGTGTGGTGGCTCATGCCTATAATTCCAACACTTTGGGAGGCCTTACGTGGGTGGATCACCTGAGGTCAGGAGTTTGAGACCAGCCTGGCCAACATGGTAATACCCCGTTTCTACTAAAAATATAAAAATTAGCCGGGTGTGGTGGCACACACCTGTGATCTTGGCTGCGCAGAAGGCTGAGGCAGAAGAATTGCTTGAACCCCAGAGGCAGAGGTTGCAGTGAGGCGAGCGTGCACCACTGCACTCTAGCCTGGGCGACAGAGTAAGATGCTGTCTCCGGGGAAAAAAAAATTGTTAGCTTCACAAAGCAAGGGAATAAATTGTTCTGTTGACTACACCAGTTATTGCTATTTTATTTTATTTATTTTGTTTTTGAGACAGTGTCTTGCTGTGTCACCAAGGCTGGAGTGCAGTGGCACGATCTCAGCTCACTGCAACCTCCACCTCCCAGGTTCAAGCGATTCTCCTGCCTCAGCCTCCCAAGTAGCCGGGATTGGGATTACAAGCTTGCACCACCACGCCTGGCTAATTTTTGTATTTTTAATAGAGACGGGGTTTCACAATGTTGGCCAGGCTGGTCTTGAACTCCTGACCTCAAGCGATCCACCTGCCTCAGCCTCCCAAAGTGCTAGGATTACAGGTATGAGCCACTACACCCAATCTGCCTTTTTTCTCTTAAAATCCGTGTATTAGGCTGGGCACAGTGCTTCACACCTGTAATCCCTGCACTTTGTAATCCCTGTGATCCTGGCCGAGCCGAGCGGATCACGAGGTCAGGAGATCAAGACCATCCTGGCTGACATGGTCAAACCCCATCTCTACTAAAAATACAAAAAATTAGCCGGGTATAGTGGCACGCGCCTGTGGTCCCAGCTACTTGGGAGGCTGAGGCAGAAGAATGGTGTGAACCCGGGAGGCGGAGCTTGCAGTGAGCCGAGATTGTGCCACTGCACTCTAGCCTGAGCCACAGAGCGAGATTCCATCTCAAAAACAAAAAAACAAAACAAAACAACAACAAAACCAAAATCCGATTATTGACCCAGTCTTCGTTTCCTGTATTCACAAATTTGCTTCGAGGGGTCCTGACCATCTCCACTTCATAACCTTACTTCTAGAGAAAGCAGTTAAGTAAAAGAGAATTGAGGACAAAAAGATCAGAAGCTGCGCGTGGTGGCTCATGCTTCTAGTCCCGGCTACTTGGGAGGCTGAGGCAGGAGGATTGCTTAAGCCTAGGAGCTGGAGACCAGACTGGGTAACAGCAAGACCCCATCTGTTAAAAAGCGAAAAAAAAGGGCCAGGCGCAGTGGCTCATGCCTGTAATTCCAGCACTTTGGGAGGCTGACGGGGGCAGATCACGAGGTCAGGAGATTGGGACCATCCTGGCTAACACGGTGAAACCCCGTCTCTACTAAAAATACAAAAATTAGCCAGGCGTGGTGGCGTCCACCTGTAGTCCCAGCTACTCGCGAGGCTGAGGCAGGAGAATGGCATGAACCCGAGAGCGGAGGTTGCAGTGAGCCGAGATCATGCCACTGCACTCCATCCAGCATGGGGGACAGACAGAGCGAGACTCCATCTCAACAAAACAGAAAAAAAAAAAAAAAAAAAAACAAGAACAGAACAAGATGTTATGGGGGGTGTGGCCAGCTGGCAGGTGGGCCGCAGACCCTTCCAGTGTTCCCTGTGCCCCGACCTGCTTCTTAGCCATTCCTTCCCTTCTGTGGCCACTGTGTATCAAGATTGGAAAGTCCTTAATGTGACCCTTGCAGAATAAAAGGTATCGGAAGAGGATTCACAGTGGTGAATCTGGAATGTGGAGTAGACTTTGTTCCTGGTTATGACGTTCAGATTTATCAAAAGCACTTTTCATGAGAAGACATGCATCTTGGGAGAGGGGCTCTAAAAACAAGATTCCAGGTATCTACCTTAAAAAAAAAATTTTAGTGGTAAGCCAGTGAGTTTCGTCAGCCTGTCAGACTGTGGGTGGGTGACTGAAACCTGAAGTGCATCATAAAACTCCCATCTTTTTCTGTGCCCTAGTTCTGGATTTTCTGTTTGGTCACTGGGTATTAATGGTCATACTCCAACCGTGAGCCATGTCTCCAGTGTGGATGCTGGGGCTCAAGCTGCAGTCTCACTTCTCACTTTCGAGACCCAGAGACAGTTGAGGGAGAAGGATAAACACAGACAGGGACAGAGTGAGACCAACCAGCGTGTTCTCTGAGCAGCACTGATGACGCCAGGACACGCCATGCCTTTGTGCTCTGCACCTGACTCCCTTGTCAGCCTGAGACTAATTCAAGATAATTCAGATTTGCATTGCTAGTGTACAGATATACATTTAACAATTCATAAAAATTTTGCTACTGATTACATACAAACACCCCCAAAGCTTCTGTATCATGAAATACATATTGTACAATTCATCCACCTAAAATGTACAATTCAATGGCTTTTGATATATTACATTTTTTAAAAATTATGGTAAAGTATATATAACATAAAGCTTACCATTTTAACAATTTTAAGTGTATATTTCATTAACATTAATTATATTCGTAGTGTTTATAACCATTACCACTATGTACTTTAAAATTTTTTCCTCAACCAAAACAGAAACTCTACCCATTAAACAGTAACTCTGCATTGCCCCCTTCTTTTTTTCCCCATAGCCTTTGAAAGTCTGTAATTGGCAGGCTCCTTCCCCTGACTCCCCACTCCTTTTTGTCTTAAAATGTATCTATGAAAGAACTGGGCCATCTCTGTCCTGGGGGTGCCTTGGTCTGATCCTGCGTGGGCGTGTTCACAGAGCAGTCTGGCCACCTCCATCCTCTGTCCTGCCTGAGAATTGGTAGGATCTGAAGGCTCTGGACGACTCTGCTCAGATCCCCTGGCAGGCCGAGGCGCAGATGCGGGTTGTTTCTATCAGGGGGTGCATCCCTCAGGCCTGCTTCTCTTTGTTGTGGGTGTCAGTAGCCCAATGTGGGCTTCACTTTAAATATATATTAAATTAGGCTTATAAAATTTACCCAAACCAATGTTATTTTATTCTCTTTATCAGTAATAACGTTTCACATACACATTATTGGTAATGTTACAGTAAGCCTGTTTCCATGCTGCTGTCTTGTATTTGCAGGCTCAGTATTTAGATAGAAACCTGTTTGCTGAGCCATTGATTTAACTCAACCCTGTGGATAGTCCCTGTGACTCTTTTGATCCTAGCACAGCTTTGCTTGTGGTGAAGCCCTGTGCCTGCAGATTGCTTTCCAATTATACCACCAAAGATATCCACAAACCGCCTCCCCCACCCACTTTGCTCTCCCTTGGCTCCAAATAACCTGAATTCTATAAATTGGAAGAGGTAAATTCTTACTTCCAGGAGGAGCGGAACAAGGAACACATGACAGGGTATAATGCCGCATCCCAGCATTCCAGGTGGAGCAAGTAGGGGCAGGATGGAATTGGGTAGAAACTAGGTTCTGTATGAAGAATGGAAACCAGTCACAGAAGAGCAAGGCTGGCAGAGGAGAAGTGGGAGAAAAACTACTTCACGGGCTGCAGTGTGGCAGAAGCCCGGCGCCGCTGGAGTCCATGTCTTAAGGAGTTTTGTCTCCTGAGGGGCAGAAACAGCCTTAGGAGAATAGCTTTGATGTTTTGAAGTAGCCTCAATCCATGTGCATCAGTGTTGTTTCTTTCCTTTGTGCTTCCCTAAATGACTGTCCAGTTACACCTAACCTCTGCTGCCTCCCCTGGAGAGACTGCAATAGGTGAGCGCACAGATGGCTTCAGTAGCTGCGAGGTTCCCAGGTGCGATTCACCTGAGGGTGGAGATAGGTCAGAGGAGAAGAGGGAGTCATTCCTGCCCATTTCACCCATGAAAAGATTTCCACATAGCTTGCTTTATTGTTTATTATAAAATCATTAGATTGTCATTACAAATAAAATTCTGAAAATATAGAAAATCATAAAGTTAGGTTTTATAAATAAGTATTATACATTTTTTCCCTATGTCCACTACACGTATTTTTAAACATGCTGTAGTCATATCTTTAGTTACCATGGGCATATTTCCATTTCAAAATATGTATGTGTATATATACCTGAATGTGTGTGTGAATGGGTAGACATAATTATAAAATTGGTAATAAGTATCTAGTTATCAAGTACTGATTCTTCTAGATGTGCCGTGATTCATTTGGTGGCTTCTAGTATTTTATATAAACAGTGCTGATCCCTAACCCTGCACAGTCTTTGAGCTCTTGATATATTGTAAACGTTGTATTTGATTGTAAGCTGTCCTTGTCAAGATGTCTTTATTTCACTTATTTTGGCTCACACTGATAGATTTAGGTATTAGGAACATGAGATTTTTCTGGTAATAATCTACATGTGTCTCCACACCTCTCCGTGTCCTCCTCCTAACCTCAGCCCCCAGCCTTCTGTCTCCCAAGCGCCATCTTGCTCACAGTCTCTTCAGAAATCGAGGTGTTTTTTCTCACTGTCTACCTGCATGTTTGTTTTTGTTTCCTGTTTATTTTCTCATTTTCCATCTTGCTATCTTTTTTTTTTGTCTTTTTTTTTTTTTGAGGCAGAGTCTCACCCTGTCTGCTAGGCTGGAGTGCAGTGGCGCAATCTCGGTTCACCACAGCCTCCACCTCCCAGGTTCAAGTGATTCTCCTGTCCCAGCCTCCTGAGTAGCTGGGATTACAGGCATGCGCTACCACACCTGGCTAATTGTTGTATTTTTAGTAGAGACGGGATTTCTCCATGTTGGCCAGGCTGGTCTTGAACTCCCGACCTCAGGTGATCTGCTCCCCTTGGCCTCCCAAAGTGCTGGGATTACAGGCGCGAGCCACTGTGCCCGACTGCCATCTTTCTTAATACAATATAATATAGTAGACAGAAAACTGTAACTGTATTTCTTCAAGTAAATCAAATTTTGTTTTGCTTTATTTGAAAACCAGATCTAAATTTTATGTCTCATTAAATGTTTTGTTTTCTCTGAGCCAGTTGTATTTTCAAGAGTAAAATAACTTTGCATCCCCATATTTTTTTTTTATCATTTTTAATTTTTATTTTTATCTAATTTTTTTATTTTGCAATTCCATATTTGGTAAACTGAATTGTTAAGCCATAGTCTTTAGAGACATGTTGTTCAGTGCTCATTTGTTTTCTCAGAAGCTGTTGTTTCTTTGAGCTTCTCTTTTTTTTTTTTTTTTTGAGACGAGTCTTGCTCTGTCGCCCAGGCTGGAGTGCAGTGGCGTGATTTCGGCTCACTGCAACCTCCACCTCCTGGGTTCAAGCAGTTCTCCTGTCTCAGCCTCCCAAGTAGCTGGGACTATGGGTGCCTGCCACCATACCCAGCTAATTTTTTTTGTACTTTTAGTAGAGATGGGGTTTTGCCATATTGGGCAGGCTGGTCTCGAACTCCTGACCTCAGGTGATCCACCCACCTCAGCCTCCCAAAGTACTGGGATTACAGACGTGAGCCACCGTGCCCAGCCGAGCGTCTCCTTTTTACAAGTCTGTCCCAGTGGCCTTGCATGGGGATCTGTTGATCCCTCACAGCTCCCTGCTGTGGTGCAGAGTGGCACCCCGTTTTCCATGTTGGGAGGCGAGTTGACAAAATAGGATAGTAGCAGCAGGAAGCGCATTTCTGATCTCTGCTTCAGAGCCTTTGAGTTCTTTCCTTTGTTACAAGGCCTTCTCTCTCCTAGGCTAGGAACCACCACACACGACACCTGCAGTGAGGACACATACAGTACCTTGCTGCAGAGGTACCAGCGCTCCGAGGAGGAGCTGCGCAGAGTCGCTGAGGAGTGGCTGGAGTGCCAGAAGAGGATCGATGCCTATGTTGACGAGCAGGTGAGTGCCACCCGGGACCACCACACCCCGCGCACACCCTCGCACAGCCACGTTGAAGGCAGCACCAAGACACTAGCTTTGTCCTGAGCTGCAAGCCAGGAATTCCTGACTGAGGCCCAGAGGCGCATGTGGGTAGCCCCTGTGTGCGTGCCAGCTGCTGGTTTTCAGAAGGGATGGGAAACCTGTTGGCATCACAGATGGCTTGGGCCTCCTGTGCTTGAGGTATGGTGGCAGCAGTTGGTCAGGTTCGCCTTGGCCTGGGCATACCCACTATCACTCACACAGGCTGTCGCCCAGGCTCTGCACCCCAGGTAGAAGGTTTTGTTTTGTGTGTGTGTGTGTGTTTTTTTTTTTTTTTGAGATGGAGTTTCGCTCTTGTTGCCCAGGCTAGAGTGCAATGGTGAGATCTGGGCTCACCCCAACCTCTGCCTCCCGGGTTCAAGTGATTCTCCTGCCTCAGTCTCCCGAGTAGCTGGGATTACATGTGCCACCACGCCCAGCTAATTTTGTGTTTTTAGTAGAGACAGGGTGTCTCCATGTTGATCAGGCTGGTCTCGAACTCCCGACCTCAGGTGGTCTGCCTGCCTCAGCCTCCCAAAGTGTTGGGATTACAGGTGTGAGCCACCAGGCCCGGTCCAGGTAGGAGATTTTTTAAGTCCAGGAGCCATTTACTGAGCACTCTGCTGTTGAGAGCTCATTGTCCATCTGTCCTAGTCTAGAAAGGAGTGCAGACACATGCACAGGTGGCAGGTGGCTGATGAGGTGGAAGACAGAAGAGGGAGGGCATCTGCTGGAGGTGGATCTGAAGGGAAGGTGCTCAGGTAGCCCAAGCCTCTCAGACAGAGCAGGGCTTTGAGATGGCGCCCCCTCTTTCTCACCCCTGGCCTGCCTGCTCTCCTAAAGTGGGGTTGGGCCAGGAAGGAATTGAGAGCAGCCCTGGTTTAAAGATGACAGTAGTGTGAGTGTGAGCAGCGGTAAAGGAGGAGTGACTGAGTTATTTATCTGTTGCACTTTGGAGACTCTCTGTAGGAAAATGGAACCTGGGCTCTAGCCTAAGACATGCGCTGTTTCCATGTCTGCCCTGGCATGGTGAGTGCCACGTGGATGCCAGCCGTGGCTCCTTGTCAGTGTTCCTTGTCAGTGCTGTGAGGGACTGGGAAGAAGGAAGGGACTAGCATGTGCTCACTGCTTCCGAGAAGCGTGTCACTGATTTCACAGTTACAGGCCGTGTTTTCTGTTGCTGTTCTCTACTGCAGCCACAGGGACTAGAGCTACAAATGGTCTGTTGTTTGGATTTTCGCGGGTTTTCTCCTACTCCATTCTTCTGCGTTCTCAGCCTCCCAAAGTACTGGGATTACATTTGTGAGCCACGGCGCCTGGCCTGCTGGCTTTTTTTGAACCTTCATCAGCTTCAGTGGAATAAGTTCCAGCTTTGTCACATGCGGAATTCTGTGCTGTTGAGCTTGTCTTAGGGCGGGTGGCCCTGAGATTCTCCCATGACTCTGCGCTTCTTCCTCGGCCGCTGTACGCACAGCACATCAGGGTGAGAAGGGGCCTTCGAGGTCAGTTTGGTCCTGGGAGACTCCCTCTGTGTCCTGAGCCTCATGGTGAGGCCTGAGAGAGCAGTTGCTGTTTTGTGTTTTCTTCAAAGTGGGTGTATTCCTAATTCATGTTTTTGTCTGTTTTTGCAACCAGAGACTTTCCAGCTGTGGCTTGTCACTGACCAGCGACTTCTTAGCCTGACTACTGTGAGAGCAGGGTCTGGATGCCAGGTGGGGAGGGCAGAGTCTCCCACTGCAGCAGCACCTCAGCAGCCTTCATCTCGTGAGGCCTGGAGCATCCCAGGGGCTGCAGCTGTGCCATGTGGGGACAGCACAGCAGAGAAGGTGCTGAAAGCTGCATTCCCCTCTGCCATCTGTGGGTGTACCAGCCGATTTTCACAAGTTTGCTGTTCTGGTAGAGGGAGCAGGAGTTGGGGGAAGCTAGGATAGTGGGCATTAACCTGCTCCAGGAAGTGGGCATCTTGAGCACAGGCTCTTCGGGGCTGTGGCCGTGCAGGAGGGCCAGTAGTGTGTCCAGGTCACCACTCCCTGGGATGTTCTTGACTTGGGTCCCTGGGAGAACCCTGCATGGCAATCAACACCGGAATGCAGTCCTGGATCTGCCCTCTGAGTGTTTTCCCTCCCTAGTCTTAGTTTCCCACCTGCAAAATGAGATAATGACATTAGGTGATGTTTTAGTTTTACACGAGCTTTTGATTCCAAATAAGTTTTTTGTGTGTTATTTTTAAAAAGCAAAACTGGCCAGGTGCAGTGGCTCACACTTGTAATTTCAGCACTTTAGGAGGCTAAGGTGGGAGGATCACTTGAGCCCAGGAGTTTGAGACCAGCCTGGGCAACATAGTGAGACTTTGTCTCTACAAAAAATTAGGCTTAGTGCCATGTGCTTGTGGTTCCAGCCACTCCAGAGACTGACCAGGGGAGGATCACTTAAGACCAAGAGTTCGAGGCTGCAGTGAGCTATGATGGTGCCACTGCACTGTAGCCTGGGTGACAGAGTGAGACCCTGTCTCAAAAAAAAAACAAAAAACGGCCAGGCTCAGTGACTCACACCTGTATTCCCAGCACTTTGGGAGGCTGAGGCAGGTGGATTACTTAAGCCCGGAAGTTTGAGACCAGCCTGGGCAACATAGATAGACCTTGTCTCTACAAAAATACAAAAATTAGCCGGCCATGGTAGCGTGCACTTGTGGTTTCAGCTACTTGGGAGGCTGAGATGGGAGGATCGCTTGAGCCTAGGAGGTCAAGGCTGTGGTGAGCTATGATCATGCCACCTCACTCCATCCTGGGCAACAGAGTGAGACCGTATCTCAAAAAATGAAAAAAATGTATAGGCATAGGGACAGTAAATAGTCCCTGTGTTGGTATTGTACTGTGGGCCGCTGGTTACTGGGTACCCTATAGGGCAGGGATCCCCGACTTTTGGGTCACAGACCAGTACTAGTCCATGACTTGTTAGGAACCAGGCTGCACAGCAGGAGGTGAGTGGCCGGTGAGCAAGGGAAGTTTTGTCAGGATTTATAGCCACTCCCCATACCTTGCATTACTGCCTGAACTCCAGCTCCTGTCAGATCAGCAGAGACATTAGATCCTCATAGAAGCACAAACCCTATTGTGAGCTGCGCGTGCGAGGGATCTGGGTTGTACACTTCTCATGAGAGTCTAATGCCTGCTGATCCGTCACTGTCTCCCATCGCCTCCAGATGGGACCATCTAGTTGAAGGAAAACAAGCTCAGGGCTTCCACTGATTGTGCATTGGGGTGAGTTGTATGATTATTTCATCCTGTATTACAGTGTAGTAATAATAGAAATAAAGTGTACAGTAAACGTTATGAACTTGAATCATCCCGAAACCATCCACTTGCCTCACCTGGTCTGTGGAAAAGTTGTCTTCCATGAAATCGATCCCTAGTGCCAAAAAGATTGGGGACCACTGCTCTGGAGCACATCCCATAGCACCTAAGCAGGGTGGTTTATTGAGAGTACAGAGGAGGGGAGGAGCAGTGAGATCTCAGGTCATCAGCAGACACTGTGAAGGAAAGACCTCGAGAAGGAAAAACAAAAGGCGAGAGGCCGATTTTTCTTCCTGGCTCATTTTGTCACTGGGGCTCGAGGGAGTGAAGCTGATCTGCTCTGGCCTCACAGAGGAGCGAGGTGTGAGAAGCCACAACCACCCTGGCTGGGAGCAGAGATAGGAGCTCAGGTCTCTGAAGCCCAGGGAAGGGCCACTGTGCAGGGCAGGGTTTCAGGACTCCCAGAGAGGCTGCTTGTGGGAAGCACGTGAAAGGGTCCTTAATCCAAGAGTGTCTCCGTTGATGACATAGTGTCACCTGCTGAGTCTCTGTCTTGCCAGCATGAGTTGCAGTCAAGTTGTATTGCATTAGGTCATTGAAACCTCCCAAGTGCATAGGATCCTGCCTGCCTTTACCAAGGACCTCTTAAAAAAAGAGGTGCCCCAAGCACCTTCTGAGTAGGCATGGATAGCTGCCCACAGTACACTATAATGGCAGCAATGGTGGTATTTGCCTTTGGCCTAGAGAACACTGTGTCAGGGCCCTCCTCCACAGTCTTGTTAGTGTTTGTAGCAATAACAGATGTGCAGATGGAGAAGCTGAGTGTTGATGAATCCACTGGAGAGTGTCATCAGACCCAGAAGGGTGGGCATATCAGTCTGTTTTCACACTGCTATAAAGAACTACCTGAGGCCAGGTGCGATGCTCACACCTGTAATCCCAGCACTTAGGGAGGCCAAGGTGGGCGGATCACCTGAGGTCGGGAGTTCAAGACCAGCCTGACCAACATGGCGAACCGCCATCTCTACTAAAAATACAAAATTAGCTAGGTGTGGTGGTGCGTGCCTGTCATCCCACCTACTCAGGAGGCTGAGGCAGGAGAGTCGCTTGAACCCGGGAGGCAGAGGTTGGGGTGAGCTGAGATCATGCCATTGCACTCCAGCCTGGGCAACGAGAGCGAGACTCTGTCTCAAAGAAGAAGGAAAAAAACAACCTACGTGATTCTGGGTAATTTATAAAGAACAGAGGTTTAATTGATTCACAGTTCCTCATGGCTGGGGAGGCCTTAGGAAACTTATAATCATGGCAGAAGGAGAAGAAGAGGCAATGCACGTCTTACGTGGTGGCAGGAGAGAGAGAGGAAGAGGGGAAATGCCACACTTTTAAGCTATCATATCTTGTGAGAACTCACTATCATGAGAACAGCATGGGGGAAATCCGCCCCCATCATCCCATCACCTCCCACCAGGTTCCTCCCCTAACATGTGGGAATTACAATTTGACATGAGATTTGGGTGGGGACAAAGGTGAACCATATCAATGTAACAGGTTGATGTGATGTCACAGGGCAGACGTGGAAGGTCTGTAATCAGGGTGGTGGCAGCCTCGCTGCATGTCCTCAGGACACCTCTGACCAGGCTGGACACCCCTGGCAGGGAAGCATAAGGGACTTGAGGTTGCTGGCCTGAGCGGTCAAGAAATGACCAGTGTGAAGCAAACATTGAGTTCGTCCCAGACAGCCCCCGGGAGCAGAGTCTAGACCCCATGTAGATGTGTGTGATCAGAAAGAGTCCCTTGCAAGGGTCGTTCGAAGGCAGAGTGGGCTGTAGTGTGGAGATGAGTTCCCCATGATAGGGAATGTGGAGAATAGTTGGAGAGGTGTTTGGACTAGGTGACCATGAGGTCTCATCTCAGATTTCATTTCAGGGACACATCTGTCCCTGACTGGGGCTCGTGGCCTCTGTGCCTGGTACTCATTGTTTCCTGGGGATTTGCAGAGTACCCTTCAGGGGAGGCACCTGTCTGCAAGCCTAAGTGCACATCAGCTTTGCCTGTCAACAACGGTGATTTGCGTGTGTCAGTGGTTCCTGTCCTGGTGTTGAACAGGAGATGCTGGCCTGTTGTGGAGAAGCTTTGGGTCTGGAAGCTTTTCTGCGTGGAACTCCCACCTCCCTTTCTCCTGCATTTGGTGTTTTTCTTCTGTAGAATTGACGCTGTTCACTTGATTCATCCCTGGTAGATTAGTCCATTCTTGCACTACTATAAAGAAATACCTGAGACTGGATAATTTATAAAGAAAAGCAGTTTAATTGGCTCACGGTTCTGTGGCTGTATAGGAAGCATGGCTGGGAGGCCTCGGGCAACTTACAATCATGGTGGAAGGGGAAGGGGAAACCAGCACATCTTACATGGCCAGAGTAGGAGGAAGCGGGGTGGGGAGGTGCTACACACTTTTAAACAACAACCAGATCTCCTGGGAACTCACTATCCCTAGAATAGCACCTTTGGGGAAATCTGACCCCATGATCCAATCACCTCCCACCAGGCCCCACCTCCAACATTGGGGAATACAGTTTGACATGAGATCTAAGCCATATCACCTGGCTTTCCCATCATGTGTCAATATAAGTTTCTGAGATTGTGAATAACTTGTAACCTTCAGGTGACTTCAGAAAAATAGTATAGTTAGTGATAACTTAGGGAAAGAGATGGAAGAGAAGGAAGATGAACCCTTACTGAGTGCTGGGCCAAACCCAGTGTGGCTAGAGCCTCACTACTGCTTCCTGGTGTTACCACATCTGCAGGTGGGAGGAGGCTCCAGAGGGCCTCAGGCAGGCCTATTGGGGTTTAGGTCAGCGGTGGCCTAAGTAGCATAACATCCTGCCCCTAGGAGCCTGGGGTGCTGTCCTTAGTTCCACATGTGATGGAAATGGCAGATAAAGTTCTAGTTTCAGAGATTCATTTCTCCAATTGAACTGTAACAAAACGCAAAAATGCCTTTAAGGAAATTCCTTTACTAAGACTGAAAAATCCTTTGGGAATAGTAATTTCTTGATGTATCTGTTTCTTGAAGTTAAACATTTATTTTGAACTATTATATATGGTATTATATATTGCTGTTGTTCCAGGAAAGATCGTATATATGTAAAAATAACATATACATATTCTCTCTAGGGAAAAAATACAGTGTCACTTAAAAAGTAAAGTGTATTTCTTTAAAATTGCATGTTACATCGTTTTTACAAAGAGAAAATCAGTCTCTTCACTAAAAGAACCAGAAGATGATTTTTTTTTTTTTTTGAGACGGAGTCTCTTTCTGTCGCCAGGCTGGAGTGCAGTGGCGTGATCTTGGCTTACTGCAACCTCTGCCTCCCTGGTTCAAGTGATTCTCCTGCCTCAGTCTCCCGAGTAGCTGGGACTACAGGCATGCGCCACCACGCCTGGCTAATTTTTGTATTTGTAGTAGCGACAAGGTTTCACCCTGTTGACCAGGATGGTCTAGATTTCTTGACCTCATGATCCACCCACCTCAGCCTCCCAAAGTGCTGAAATTACAGGCGCGAGCCACCACACCTGGCCAGGAGATGCGTTTTTATTTTCACTCTCTTTTGAAGAAACCATGAGAAACAATCCGCCACTAATACAATTGAGGGAAATTGAGCCACTTTAGTAACATCCAGAGAATAATAGTCATTCTGGAACCACGTATGCATGGGTGGGAGGTTGGAGGGAGCTGAAAACAACAGAAATTTATGCTCACAGTTCTTGAGGCCAAAAGTTCAGAATCAGTATGTTAGCAGGGCTGTGTTCCCCTGAAAGCTTTGGGGGCGGCTGCAGTGACCCCTGGAGTTCTTGGTTTGTGGCCACTCCACTCTCCACTGGAGCCATTGTAATGCGCCATTTAATTTAAAACCTTTGAATGAACATTGGTTGCTTCTAATAACATTTTAGAAATTTTATACTGATTCAAAGGTTTTAAAATGTTGAATACATGTAAAATAATTGAGTCTCTGTTCACAAATATGTATGTATGTGGCAAGAGAGTGGTAGGTTTTTGTTTGTTTGAGATGGAGTCTTACTCTCACCTAGGCGGTGGTGTCATCTGGGCTCACTGCAACCTCCACCAACTGGTCTCAAGCAGCCCTCCCACCTCAGCCTCCAGAGTAGCTGGGATCACAGCACACACCACCATGCCTGGCTAATTTTTTTGTTTGTATTTTTGGTAGAGATGGGGTTTCACCATGTTGCCCAGGCTGGAAGTTTGAAATCAATTATTTTTATGTTTGCTTTCTAAAATTCATTCTTTGTTGTTTGACACATACATAAGCCTGCCAAGTACCCAAATTTGTTCCCCAAAAAAAAAAAAAAATTTTCCCAGAAGCTGTAAGGAGTCAAGGTAGAGGTTTTAATTGATGTTATTTATCAAACAACTCTTAAGCTCTACGCTAAGATTTTACAATAACTGCAGACATATACAGTGAAAAGGGAGAATTGGCACCCATATTGAATTTTCCCATCCAAGAATATGGTATGTCACTCTTTTTTAAGGTTTTAAAAAATATCTTGTATTATGGTTTTATAGTTTGTAAATCTTGACCCATTTTCTGCCTCCATAGTCTGTAGTTTGAGGGGCTACTATGACCGGCATCTTGAGCGGGGAATGTGTGTTTAAAGCGTTCATGCTGGAAACTGGGAAAATGGAGATGCCCTGTGACCAGTTGTCTCGCCAGATGCCGGCATTAACTCCTGTAGTTTTTGAGTTGAGTCTTGAATCTGGGAGTCTAGGAAATCACAGTATCTTCTACAAATAATGATAGGTTTATCTCATCTTTTCCAGCATTTGTCCCCTTTTTTTGGCTTCCACTAGGACCTTCAGACCAGTGTGAATAAGAGCATTGATACTGGCACCCTTGTCCAGTCCTGGCTTCGAGGGGCTGCTGTGAGTGTTTCACCATGAAGTTTGATGCTTGCCATACAGACTTTTGATACTTTCTAGCAAATTAAAGAAGTTTACTTTTATTTCTAGTTTATTTAGGCTATCATTTAAAAAATAAAACAGGAAGATGTCAAAATTGGTGGTATGATTTTTCTTATATCAATTTCTATATGAATTAAGAGTTTAGGTTACCTAATTTTGACACATTCTTGCATTCCTGGGATGAAATGCTAGTAGATCATGATATGTCATTCTTTATTCCATTATTAAATTTGTTAGCTGATATTTGATTTAGGACGTGTGTGCGCGTGTGCGCCTGTGTATGTGTGTGTGTATGTGTATTTGGACAGCTATATAAAATTATTTTTAGAGACAGGGTTTCACACTGCTGGCCAGGCTGGAGTGCAATGACAAGATATTAGTTCTCTGCAGCCTCGAACCCCTGGGCTCAAGCTATCCTCCCACTTCAGCCTCCTGAGTAGCTGGGACCATAGGCACGTGCCAGTGTGCCAGCTAAATTTTGGCTTGGTGCAGTGGCTGGCACCTGTAATTCCAGCACTTTGGGAGGCCGAAGCAGAAGGATCACTTGAGCCCAGGAGTTTGAGACCAACCTGGGCAACATAGGGAGAACCCCATCTCTACAAGGAAAAAAAAAAAATTAGTCAGGTGTGGTGGTGTGTGCCTGTGGTCCTAGCTACTTGGGAGGCTGAGGTGGGAGGATCACAGGCCCATGAGGTTGAGGCTACAGTAAGTTGTGATCACACCACTGTAGTCCAGCCTAAGTGACAGAGTGAGAGACTTTGTCTCAAAGATAATTTTATTTACAAACAAATGAAATTTTTTGTAGTGGTGGGGGTCTTACCTTATTATCTAGACTGTTCTCAAATTCCTGGCCTCAAGTGATCCTCCCACCTTGGCCTACCAAAGCGCTGGGATTACAGGTGTGAGCCACTGCATCCAGCTAGGACTTTTATGTCTGTATTCTGAGGTATAATTGAGTTGTCTTGGTCTTTGAGGTCTTACTTGTTTTGTATAAAGGTTGTGCTAGCTTCATAGAATGCATTGAGAAACTCTCTGTGTTTTTGCAGTTTTCGGGAATAGTTTAAATTTTCTGTCCCATAAAGGATTTGATAGAACCTACCGTAAAACTTTGGGGCCTAATTCATTTTTACAGGGAAGAATAACAAGAACTATAGATCTTGTCTGCCTTTTTCATGTATATGACATTTATTAGTCTATCTCAAGTTTCCTTCTATGTCGAGTCAGTTTTACAAATGGAATTTGGCTCAAGAAGTTATCCACATCATTTAGTAAAGGGTTGTAAGCTCACACCTGCAGGGCTGGGGAAAGTCACAGAAATGGATGATATGGGGTAGAGCAGCCCCAGAGTTCCTGTGGTGCTCATGGCCATCACCACCCTCACCTTAGAAAGTGCCCTCAGTTGGGATAGGCCCTGGTGGAGCGTGGGGCATGGGTAGTGAAGGCCACACCTGGGTGTGCGTGCATGTGTTCTCCTGTTCTCTGTTAGGGGCAGGCCCCACTTGGGTCCAGCAGTCTTCACAGGGCCACCAGAGCCGCCGAGTTGTCAAGAGAAGCCAGAAATCTGGATTATTAGGTGAAATCTTGAAAATTTTTTAAAAAAGGCATTGTGCAAGTCGGACAAAACAGCCTGTGAGCCCCTTGTTTGCAACTCTTCTTTAGATACTGCAAAGTATCAACTTAAAAAGATACTTTGTCTCATAGTTTAAAAAACAGCCTTCTGGCCAGGGAGTGCAGTGGCTCATGCTTGTAATCCCAGTACTTTGGGAGGCCGAGGCAGGTGGATCACTTGAGGCCAGGAGTTCAAGACCAGGCTCGCCAACATGGTGAAACACCGTCTCTAGTAAAAATAGAAAAACGAGCTGGGCGTGGTGGTGGTCGCCTGTAATCCCAGCTACTCAGGAGGCTAAAGCACAAGAATCGCTTGAACCCAGGAGGCACAGGTTGCATTGAGCCGAGATTGCACCACTGCACTCCAGCTTGGGTGATAAAGCGAGACTCAGTCTCAAAAAACAAAACAAAACAGTCTTCATACGTACCCATATCCTTTCTCAATCCTGGTTTTTTTTTTGTTTTTTTTTTTTTTATGTTACCTTTTTCCCCCTTTTTCAGCCTTGGCAGAAGTTTACAGAACTGACTTTCGGTTTTATTAATCACATTTGCTTCTCTGTGTTCTCAGTAATGTCTCTTTTTGCCTTTAATTCCTTCCTACTTCGTTAGTTTTGCTTTGCTTTGCTTCTTAAGTCTCATATGCCTGTTAATAGCTCTTCCTTTCCTGTAGTCTGAGCTCTTCGTGTGGCAGGACCAAGTTGCCATCATCTTGCTTATTTCTAACACATTCAGGGCACATAATGGGCATTCAGTAAATAGTGAATGTTCATCCACTGTATTGTCAGATTTAGTCAGAATATCTTAATTTCTTTTTTTTATGTTTATTCATCTCTTTCATGTGAGAAAAGTACTTGTGATGACTGAGTAAAACAAAGAAATACCTGTTAACATATTTGTAGTATTGTATCTTTATTGTTTGCAGATGATGTTTCTCATATATATTTCATTTTAAGAAAATCTCCTCGTGAAAGTGTCTTGTATAATTGTCGCAGGTATTAAGGTTTTTCTTTCTTTTTTTTTTTTTTTTTACATCCTCTTACTAGATGACAATGAAAACCAAGCAGCGCATGTTAACAGAAGACTGGGAGCTTTTTAAACAAAGAAGATTCATTGAAGAACAGGTAAGCTTGTCAATAAGAGAGGCAATTAAAGGAAGTAGAAATCTGTCCTGACAGCAAATGACTTCTCTACACGTTGATGTGCTCCGTTAGAACAGCATTGGAGGACCACACTGGCATGTGCTGCCAGCATTAAAAACTGTTGAAGATGGTGTTTTTAATCTCAAGATAAACTAATTTTGTTCACCTATTTCCTTATTTTCCACATACGCCTCAAGAAAAACCCATGTGTATTGAGCGGCCCCTCTATCCCACAGCAGCCCTGGGTATTTTGCAAAGGATATTACCTGAGTCCCCACAGTCCCTTATGAGGCAGGTGGTGTCATCTGCAGTTTACATACGAAGGAGGGTGATAGGGTGAGGTTAAGGATGTCGCTTGATGTCCCAGAGCTGGGATGGGGGCCCAGCATCCCCAGACAGAGTGCTCAAACCTCCAGACAGTGCCAGGCGCAGTGCCTTCAACATGGCAGTTGGCAGATCTGGACTCTCCCTTCCTCAGCTTCCTGGCAGTGCCTCCTCCAGGCAGGTTTGTGCTCCACCTTTGCTGATACTGTTTGGCAGAGCTTGCTAGCAACATCCTGTATCTGGTCTTGGGGCCCTTGGCTTCATCTGGAAACTTGGCTTCCTCTGATCTCCCATCCACGTGTCACACCGACTCTCTTCCTGTTCTCTGCCACTTGTCTCCATCTCCTTTACGAACTCCAACTTCATTGGCCTTTCTGCAAATATTGGTGGTTCCCTGGCCTTGACCCCATGCCTGTCTCCACATTTACATGCTTGTGGTCTCCTCTGGGTACCACAGGTATACAGATGGCACCAGTGTTTTGGCATGCTCACCTCTTCCCTTTCCCCATTCTGCTTGTGTCCTGTGCTTTTGTTGTTGTTTTGAGACAAAGTCTCACTCTGTCACCCAGGCTGAAGTGCAGTGGCGTGAACTTGGCTCACTGCAACCTCTGCCTCCCAGGTTCAAACGATTCTTGTGCCTCAGCCTCCCAAGTAGCTAGGATTACAGGTGCCAACCACCACGCCTGGCTAATTTTTGTATTTTTAGTAGAGATGGGATTTCACTATGTTGGCCAGACTGGTCTCAAACTCCTGACCTCAGGTCATCCGCCTGCCTCTGCCTCCCAAAGTGCTGGGATTACAGGCGTGAGCCACCTTGCCTGGTCATCCTGTCCTTTTGAGTGGCCCTTCCAGCTGCCACCTGTCCCATTGCCAGAGTGGGTCCAGAGTTCTTCTTTGAAATGCAGATGCTCACCTTGTCTATTGGAAGTTGAGACGCCATTTCGTCAATAGCTCCCAGGCCTACCCCTTGCCCTCCACGTACCAGTTTTCATTCCTACAGCTCTGTTCTCAGTACCTTGCAAGTACCAAGCACATGGCAGACAGGGTAAAGACCGGGTGTCTGCAGCAGGTGTCTGGTCTGAGGGCGCACTGCAGCATGTTTGCTGAAGACAAAAGCGATTAGGGTTTCCTGGTACCTGAGCCCTTTGTGGCTCAGCCCCCTGCTTGCTACCACCTCCAGGTCTGCTGCCCCTCTGTTCCTGGTCCTGTCCCGCTGAGGAAGCAGTGTCTGTGAACATGATACATGTTAGCAGAATTACTGAAAAATAATGAGCCATGTCTTGGGGAAGGGTCTTGCAAGATTAAAGCATTTTAAAATTTCCTCTAGTTAACCAATAAGAAAGCAGTTACTGGCGAGAACAACTTCACGGACACCATGAGGCACATGTTGTCGTCCCGGCTGAGCATGCCCGACTGCCCCAACTGCAACTACAGGAGAAGGTAAGCCTGGATTGTGGTGCTGGCGCGGCGGGCCTGTGAGACCTTCACTGGGCTGAGCGGAGGCCCAGAACCGACCCTTAGAGAGCGTGGTCTAGTCTTCTGCATTGGCTGGCTTGGTAACTGTCCTTAATTCCTGATCAGATGTGCTTGCGATGACTGCAGCCTTTCACACATCCTCACATGTGGTATCATGGACCCCCCCGTCACTGACGACATCCACATTCACCAGCTCCCACTTCAGGTGGATCCTGCTCCCGACTATCTTGCTGAGAGGAGCCCACCCAGCGTGTCGTCTGCAAGCTCGGGGTCGGGCTCCAGCTCTCCCATCACAATTCAGCAGCATCCCAGGCTCATTCTCACAGACAGTGGCTCAGCACCAACTTTGTAAGTTGTGGCTTTGTAATAAAGTTTCAGAAATTTAAGTTGTTCAGTAATCAGAAACACATACAATAATGTCCACGGAAGTATGGACATCATTATTGTGCTTTTCGTGACAAGGGACCCTGAGGTTTTTAAAGCAACTTTTAAAACATGAAATCAGTAAACCCAAACTTTTAACACTGTTTATCTGAAAATAAAAATGGTAAATTAACAAAGGCCAGTAAAGAAAAAACATGTTAGTATGCAGAGAAGAAGTGTCTCTAATTCTGGCTTCACATCTCCTCATTCTGAAGGGTGACCAGTCTGCCATCCGTCCTGTCTCACTGTCAGCCCAGCACTCATGCTTATTTCACGTCTTGCTAAGCCTCAGGTGATCGCTTTAGCAAAAGCAGTTAAAGGTTTCTGTTTCTCATGTTCCCGCATGATGAGAAGTGCATTTTGTATTAGCAAGGTGACTGTGCAGCTGTCACCAATTCACATTGTAGTTGGCCGGTCCCAGATTTCTTCAGAGTTGTGACCCTTTCATTTGGGGAGGCTTCACGTGCTGATTTCCAAAAGGGTTGTGCATGAATGTATGTAGTTGCTAAAGTCAGCTTGGGTTTACTTTACATGTGTCGTAGAGCACACAGGCATCATGTTCCCTGTGGCGGTGTGCAGTGGGACAGATTGTTGTTCCTGACCTTGGCCGTGTAGCGTTTCTGGGATTTCTCTGACCAGCTGACTTGTGTTCATTCCCTCCGTCTCGATTTCTCATGGTGACTGGCGTTTTCCTTCAGTCTTTCCATTTTCAATTTGGGCTTGTTCTCAGACAAAATAATTCTTAAAGGACTGGTTTAAACTGACTGACTCTCTTCATACGAAGATTGCAGCTGCTGTTTATTGCCTTAGAGACACTGTGTTCTCTCCAGGGCACAAGAGTGTTGACATTTTTGCAGCTGGCTGTTATCCAACTTCTTACTGAAACATAAAAATTAAACATATATAGCCTAATGAAAATTTAAGATGGAAAATTTCGTCCCTGTTCATTTGTCACAGCTGCTGATGTCAGTTATGGTCTCTTGTGCCACACGTGGTAGTGGAAGAAATTGGCTGTGGGAGCCTTTCTCCTTGGGCCGGAACTGCCCATCACCAGTTACCAGGAGGCTAGGTTCTCAGGGCATCTGGGCCTTCAGCAGCTTGTGATCAGTGTCTTCCAGACGTAAACTATGATTTGAAAATCTCCATTGTTATCTTTTGGTTTATATTGTCTCTTTTTTGGTGCCTTTTCTAAGTTGGTTAAAAAGAACAATGTGATTGTAGTCACTGTACCACAGTACTTCTTGGACCTTATGGGTTGGATCTTTATGGAACTAGGGCTGGTGAAGCCTCCTGCCGTCACATGGAGCAGATGGCTGAGTCACTTCACTTGAACCTCAGTTTTCTCATCTGTAAATGGTGCTGGTGGTCATCCTCAGGAGTGTGTGTGAGCATTGGCCCAGGCAGTGTCCCAGGTGCAGTGGGCCTGCAGGAAGCCCTAGGACTCTGCACCTTGTGGGTGCTGTTTGTACTTCCCTCTGGTGAGCTCCAGACTCTAGCACGTTACTTGTAATGTGTTGAAAAGACACCTGAATTTGGTAGTCCTGGACACTCTTCACTCATTGTAGGAAGTGAGATCACAGCGAGTTCCTACGGTTTTGCCTTCTGGAGGTTGCTGTGTGCCCAGGCTGAAGATGGATTCAGTGCATGTTTTTGTGGACCTTGGAGCATCTGTTTGCACTGAGTTTGAATGTTCCAGTTCTTTTAATGCACCAGAAGATTATACATCTTAAGTAGTCTCTGTAGGCTAAAGCCTTGAAATCTGTTTAAAATTAATTTCAGTAAATTTTTCATTTGCCTGTTGCTTAGATGTCTTGCTAAAGCTGATGTTTAATTATGATCATTAGTGACCAGGCCATGACTGACCTTAAAGCAAAAAAATAATAGTCTTCTGTTACATAAGTGCCTTTAAAGTTTTGTTCAACTGTTTCTGAAAATTTCAGCCCTAAGTTGAAAAAGCAAACACTAAACAGCTAAGGTTAAAAAAGCAAACACTAAACACCTAAGGTTGCCATCTGTACCCCTAAATTGTGTTGGCTTGGGAGTAGCAGAGAGACTAGTTTTATACTAGCACTCTTCAGGTCAAATGGAAACGTTATGTCAATCAGTCTGGTTAAATTTTTGTAGTTTCCTTGGTATTTCTACTTTCGGAGGTTTTTTTGTTTGTTTTTTGTTCTTCCAGATGTTACATTGTGTTATGTTAATGTTAATTAACATTAGCAAATGTTAATCTTCCAAGCATTTTTGTGATGTTCAGGTTACTAAGACATGTTAGTAGCATGAATGATACTTAACTGATACTCTTTGTAAATGAAAGCAGTGATCTGTCCAGGAAATATCTGTGCTTAGTGACTGGTTTACTCACCGTCCTTCACAATTGGATGACCTCACAGTGCCCATCTCTGCTTGTGTCAGTTGTAGTGATGATGAAGATGTTGCACCATTGTCAGCCAAATTTGCTGATATTTATCCATTGAGTAATTATGATGATACTGAGGTGGTGGCCAACATGAATGGAATCCACAGCGAATTGAATGGTGGCGGGGAAAACATGGCCCTGAAGGATGAGGTATGGACATGGCTTCTTCGTAGCAGCAATAAATGACATAAAATGATGGTCTGACATTTTAATTTTTTATATTACTCTGTTTTGAAAAGTGCAAATTACAGACGATTGTCTTTAAAGTCTCCTCAGATAAGCAGTACCAGTAGTAGTTCCTCAGAAGCTGATGATGAAGAAGCAGACGGCGAGAGTAGTGGGGAGCCCCCAGGGGTCCCGAAGGAAGATGGAGTGCTGAGAAGCAGGAGTCCCAGGACAGAGGAGAGCAAAGCAGACAGTCCACCCCCATCCTACCCAACACAGCAGGTAGGACTTTGCTTTCTGTTTTGCCAAGTATCTCTTTTTCTGTGTATATTTTTTCTAAACGTTAACATTACTGAATACAAAATTATTCTGTTTCCCATAATTTCTGAAGGTTAGAACTGAAGAGAATCAAGGCATACTTACAATCTCCATTTGAATCTTGTTTTTCTTGCTCAAATATCAATCTGGATTTCGCAACACCCCATAGCAGCTCTATGGAGACCTTTTTTGTCTGTATAGAAGCAAAGAGAGGAGTTAAAAAAAAATAGTGGAGTATTAAAATTTCAGGAAAGATTTGTTTTTCCTATTCATTATCTGTTTTTCTGTTAGCCAAAGGTGAGGGTACCTTATTAGCCTTTTTTCTCAGAATTTCATAAATAGATGCTTAACCAGTTTTTGGCCGGGCACGGTGGCTCACGCCTGTAATCCCAGCACTTTGGGAGGCCAAGGTGGGTGGATCACTTGAGGCCAGGAATCCAAGACCAGCCTGGCTAACGTGGCAAAACCCCGTCTCTACTAAAAATACAAAAATTAGCTGGGCATGGTGGTGGGCACCTGTAATCCCAGCTACTTGGGAGGCTGAGGCACGAGAATTGCTTGAACCCGGGAGGCAGAGGTTGCAGTGAGCCAGGATTGTGCCCCTGCACTTCAGCCTGGGCGACAAAGCAAGACTCTGTTTAAAAAATAATAATAATAATACAATAATAATAAGCAGTTTTTAAATGAAAGAACAAATGAAGGTCAAAGTGCTTGACTGATTTATTAGGTAATATAAATGTAACACTCAGATGGTAAAGGTGATGTTGAAAGGTCTATCTGGGAAGTCTGACCACATCTCCTTACCAGCTTTTTCTTCTATGTGTGATGTTTTTGATGTCTTAGCCAAGAAAACTTTGCCTAACACAACACTGTTTTCTTTTAGAAGATTTATAATTTTAGTTCTTAGATTCTGTGGTCCATTTGACTCAACATTTGCTTATTGTGAGGTGAGGGTATAATTCACCTTTTCAGCATAGGTAGAGATCCAGTTGTCTCTACACTGTTTTGTCAGAAGTACCCTATTGAATTGCCTTGGCCATTTATTGAAAATGAATGGACTATAAATGTAAGAGTTTATATTTGGACGTTCTATTCTGTTCATTTGATCTCTGTGTCAGTCCTTACACCCATAGTGCATTTGACAACTACTTTATGGTAAGTTTAGGAAAATGGGATAGGGTCTGCCCTCCAGCTAGGTACACCTTTTTCTCTCTTTCTTTTTTTTCTTTGAGACGGAGTCTTCCTCTGTCACCCAGGCTGGAATGTAGTGGCGCGATCTTGGCTCACTGAAATCTCTGCCTCCCAGGTTCAAGCAGTTCTTCTGCCTCAGCCTCCCGAGTACCTGGGACTACAGGTGCACACCACCACGCCCAGCTAATTTTTTGTATTTTTAGTAGAGACGGGGTTTCACTATACTGGCCAGGCTGGTCTCAAACTCCTGACCTCGTGATCCGCCCGCCTTGGACTCCCAGAGTGCTAGGATTACAGGCGTGAGCCACTGCACCTGGCTGGTATACCTTTTTCAAAATCATTTATGCTGCTGAAAGTTCTTTGCATTCCCATATAAATTTTAGGATCTACTTGTCAACTTCTACAAAAAGCCTCCTTGGATCTTGATAGGGATTGCATTGAATTCTTAAATACATATTTAGAATTCTCTAGTGAAATCCTCTGGATGTGGTTGTGGTCTTTTATTTGTGGGATGATATAGATCAGTTTAGGGAGAATGGAATCCTAACAAAATTGAATCTTTTAATCTATGAATATGCTTTTTCTTTCCATTTATTTAAATCATCTTTAATTTTTCTCAGCAGTTCTAAAAAATTTCCAGTCTTTGTGTCTGGAATATGTAAGTATTATGTGTTTTCATTCACAGTAAAAGGTATTTTCTAATTTTGATTTCCAACTGACCGTTGGTAATACATAGAAATACAATTGGTTTTTTTATATTGGTCTTGTGTTCTGCAGCTTTACTAAATTTGTTTATTCTAGTAAGGTTGGTTTTTTGTTGTTGTTTTTTTGATAGATTACTTTGGATTTTCTATATACAAGATCATGTTGTCTGCAAATAAAGTTTTAGTTCTTCCTTTCCAATCTGGATGCAATGTTTTTAATTTCTCTTCCCTTCCCCTTCCCTTCCCCTTCCTTTTCCCTTTCCCTTTCCCTTTTCTTTCTTTTCTTTCTTCTTTTTAAGAAACAGAATCTTGCCGGGCGCAGTGGCTCACGCCTGTAATCCCAGCACTTTGGGAGGCCAAGGCGGGCGGATCACAAAGTCAGGAGATCGAGACCATCCTGCCTAATACAGTGAAACTCCGCCTCTACTAAAAATACAAAAAATTAGCTGGGCGTGGTGGCGGGCGCCTGTACTCCAAGCTACTCGGGAGGCTGAGGCAAGAGAATGGCGTGAACCCGGGAGGCGGAGCTTGCAGTGAGCCGAGATCGCGCCACTGCACTCCAGCCTGGGCAACAGAGCAAGACTCCGTCTCAAAAAAAAAAAAAAAAAGAAACAGAATCTCACCCTGTCACCCAGGCTGGAGTGCACTGCTGCAATCATGGCTCACTGCAGCGTCAAATAGCTGAGCTCAAGCAGTCTTGCTCCCTCCGCCTCCTGAGTAGCTAGGACTACAGGTGTATTACAACTACAGGCATGCGCCACCATGTCCAGCTTAAAAAAAAAAAATTTTTTTTTGTAGAGATAGGGTCTCACTATGTTGCCCAGGCTGGTCTTGAACTTCTGTCCTCAAGCGATCCTCCCATCTCAGCCTCCCAAAGCTTTAGGATTATCGGTGTGAGGCACCACACACAGCCTGGATGCTTTTACTTTCTCTTTTTTTTTTTTTTTTGAGACGGAGTGGCGCTCTGTCGCCCAGGCTGGACTGCAGTGGGGCTATCTCAGCTCACTGCAAGCTCTGCCTCCTGGGTTCATGCCATTCTCCTGACTCAGCCTCCTGAGTGCTTTTAATTTCTCACTCTTGCCTTTTTGAGCTAGCTGGAAACTTAGTACAGAATAGAAATGTTGCAAGCAGACATCTTTGCCTTGTTCCCAGTCTTAGGGGAAAAGCATTTAATCTTTGACCACTCTTTAAATGTGATATCAGGTGCAGGTTTTTCATAGATGCCCTTTGGGTTGAGGAAATTCTATTCTACTCCTAATTTCTTGAGTTTTTTCATGATTGGAATATTGAATTGTATTGAATTGTATTGAATATTGAATTGTTTGATTTTTCAAATGTCTTTTCTGCATATATTGCAATCCTGTGGTTTTTGTTTTTTATTTTGTTACCGTGGTGTGTCACATCAGTTGATTTAAGGATATTAAATCAACCTGTGGTCCTTGGGCTAAATCCCACCTGGTGGTGGTATATAATCCTTTTCATATGTCCCTGAGTTGGTTTACTAATATTTTGTTAGGATTTTTGCATCTGTGATAATATTAATAAAATATATTGGTCTGTAGTTTCCTATCTCTGTGCTGTCTTCGTCTGACTTTGGTATCAGAGTAATACTGGCTTCATAGGATGAGTTAGAAAATATTTTTTTCACCTGTTTTCTGAAGGAGTTTAAGATTGAGTGTTCTTAAATATTTGATAGAATTCACCAGCAAAATCCTATAGGCCTGGTCTCTTTTTGTGGGAAGATCTGTAATTACTAATTCAAGTTTCATGTGCTTGGAATAGGTCATTTCCAATTCTCTATTTCTTATTTGAGTGAATTTCAGTAATTTTTGTCTTTGTAGGAATTTATTCATTTATGTTGTCTAATTTGTTGGCATAAAGTTACTCTATTCTGTTGTAATCCTTTTTAATTCTGCAGTGCCTGCAGTGATGTTAATTCTTGATTTTGGTAATTTTATCTTCCTTTTAATGGCTTCAGTCACTTGGGCTAAAGATTTGTCAGTTTCTCTGTTTTCTGTGTTGTCGGTTTCCATTCTGAGATTCATTATTTCTTTCTATGCTCTTTGGGTTCAGCTTGCTCTTCCTTTTCTAGTTTGTTGAAACAAAAGCTTAGATTACTGATTTTAGAGCTTCCAAATTTATTCAGACTTGTATGTGGCCTAACATATGGTTTACCTAGGCCGTGTTCTATGTGTACTTGAAAATAATTTCTATTTTGCTCTTGTTGTGTGGGGTGTTCAGTAAATGAAAGTTTGGTCAAGTTGGTTGATGGCATTGTTCAAGTCTTCTCTATTGTCTTGGTCTATTCAGGCTGCCATATGAGGACAGTAATCCCATTCCTGAGAGTAGAGCCTTCCAAAGTCCTTATCACCTAATACCAGCACTTTGGAGCACTTTGGCTATCGACATAGGAATTGTGGAGGGGCACAGATACTCAGTTCATAGTACATATTCTTACTGATTATCTGTCTGGTGGTTTTATCGGTTACTGAGAGAGGCATATTAAAGCCTCCAAGTTGAACTGTTGGATTATTTCCTTCTCCTTTCAGTTCTTCCTGGTTTTGGTTCATGCATTTGGCGGTGATGTTATTGAATTATTGTGATAGCTCCCCTGGTGTATTGCCCCTTTTATCATTATAAAATGTTTGTCTACTAGTGTTGCTTAAAGTCCATTTTATTTGTTAATACAGCCACTCCACCTTCTTGGGTTACTGTGTACATGTTGTATTTTTCCATCCTTTTACTTTCAGTTTCTTTGCATCTTTGGATCTAAAATTTGTCTAACATCTTTTAGTTGGGCCTTGCGTTTTTATCCTGTGTATGTCAATATCTGCCTTTTAAAATATTAAACAAAATTTTTAGTGTACCATTTTAATTCTTTTGTTGATTATTTTTTTAATTTTCTTAGCGGCTGCTGTAGGGTTACAGTATGCATCTCTTGTGAATGTTGGTGTAAAAAATAGAAACAAAAATTAAAATATAACATGTGTCTCTTTTTTTCTTAGAGACAGGGTCTTGCTCTGTTACACAGGCTGTAATGTGGTGGCATCGTCAGAGCTCACTGCAGCCTCAAACTGCTGGGCTCAAGCAGTCTTCCTGCCTCAGCCTCCTTAGTAAGCTGGGACTATAGGCGTATGCCACCATGACCGGCTAATTTTTTTAATTTTAGTAGAGACAGGGTCTCCCTGTGTTGCCCAAGCTTGTCTCAAACTGCTGACCTCCAGTGATTCTCCCGTCAGGAACTCCCAAAGTGCTAAGATTACACTTAACCACTGTACCCGGCCACAGTATGCATCTTTTTTTTTGTTTTTTGATACAGAGTCTTGCTCTGTCACCCAGGCTGGAGTGCAGTGGTGCAGTCTTCGCTCACTGCAACCTCTGCTTCCCGGATTCAAGCAATTCTCCTGCCTCAGCCTCCCAAGTAGCTGGGATTACAGATGTGGATCACCACACCCCGCTAATTTTTGTATTTTTAGTAGAGACAGTGTTTTGCCACGTTGGCCAGGCTGGTCTCAATCTGGCCTCAAATGATCCGCCTACCTCAGCCTCCCAAAGTGCTGGGATTACAGGTGTGAGCCACCGTGCCTGGCCACAGTATGCATCGTAATTTATCACAGTCTACTCCAGGTTACTACTGACTTAATTCCAGTAAAATATACAAACTTTTCTCCACAGTAGCTCCATTTCCTTCTTCCTCCTTTGTGCCATTATTGTCCTATATATGATTACATTTGTATATGTTATAAATCAATAATATGTTTTAATTACTGCTTTATACAGTTTTATAATTTCTAGAGCAAATAAAAGAGAAAAATACATTTATATAGTGCCGGCCGGCTGGCCGACCTGCCTGCCTTCCTTCCCTCCTTCCTTCCTTCCTTCTTTTCTTTCTTTTTCTTTTTTGTTTTTGTTTTTGTTTTTGTTTTGTTTTGAGACAGTCACACTCTGTTGTCCAGGCTAGAGTGCAGTGGCGCGATCTTGGCTCACTTCAACCTTCGCCTCCCAGGTTCAAGCAGTTCTCCTGCCTCAGCCACCCGAGTAGCTGGGATCACAGGCGAGCACCATGGCACCCGGCTAATTTTTGTATTTTTGGTAAAGATGACATTTCGCCATGTTGACCAGGCTGGTCTCAAACTCCTGGCTTCAGGTGACCTACCCACCTTGGCCTACCAAAGTGCTGGGATTATAGGCGTGAGCTACCACGCCTGGCCTGTATTTATACAGTATTTTCTATTTGCTAGCTGGCTAGTCATTTCTGGCATTCTTCATTTTAAATTCTGCCGAATTTAAGTTACCATCTTGTTTTTACCTTCCTTTAATATGTCTTACAGGACTAGTTTGCTTGCAGTTAATTCTCTGTCTTTTTGTGTAAATGTCTTTATTTGGCCTTCATTTTAAAAAATAGACCGGGTACAGGGGTGGCTCACGCCCAGCACTTTGGGAGGCTGAGGCGAGTGGATCACCTGAGGTCAGGAGTTCGAGACTAGCCTGGCCAACATGGTGAAACCCCATCTCTTCTAAAAATACAAAAATTAGCAAGGCGTGCTATCATGTGCCTGTAATCCCAGCTACTTGGGAGGCTGAGGCAAGAGAATTACTTGAACCTGGGAGGCAGAGGTTGCAGCGAGACAAGATCGCGCCATTGTACTCCAGCCTGGGCAAGAAGTGAGACTCCGTCTCAAAAATAAATAAATAAATAAATAAAAAATAGAGTGGTTGTTTTTAGGAGTAGCTTTAGATTCACAACAAAGTTGAGTGAAAGGTACAGAGATATCCTATACTCAGTGTCCCTACACAGAGCCTTCCCCACTATCAAATTCTACACCAGAGTGTTACTTTTGTTACAGTCATCAGGTGTCAGACTGTTAGAACAGTCAATTCTCTTGGCAGCCTGGCTTTCTCAAGAAGGTGTTTTAGTAGGGTCTGGGGTCATCCTAGGGACTTAGCCTTGGGCTGCAGGAAGCCTTAGGTGGTCATTGTGTGCCAGAGTTCTGCAGCTCTCAGTATCTCTTTGTTTTTATCCATCTTAAGGTTCACTGAGCTTGGATCTGTAGATCAGTGTTTCTCATCACATTTGGGGAGTGGAATGTCCGGGTGTTATTATTTCCTTCGGGGCTGGGTTCTGCCTGTGCTGGAGTGGTTCGCTGCTCTCCATGGGCCTCTGAGCATCTGCATACTTTCCCCTTGTCTCTTCTCTCTGTTGTTAAATCAGTTCCATTGCTCTTCTTCAAGTTCACAGATGATTTTTCTGCTTTTAAGTTTGCTTTTGAGCCCCTTTAGTGAAATTTTGGTTTAGCTATTGTACTCTTCACCTATAGAATTTATAGTTTACTGTTTTTTTGTTTCTCTTTTTTTATGGTAATTCCCTACATGTTGAATCTTTATTTTCATATTTTCCTTTAATTCTCTGAACATGTTATAACAGCTACTTTGACATCTTTGTGTGCTAATTTAATATCTGAACCCACTCCTGTTAACCGTTTGACTATTTACTTCCTGCTTATTGGTCACATAACTTTTTTTTCCAGACAAGGTCTTGCTCTGTCACCCAGGCTGAAGTGCAGTGGCATGATTACAGCTCACTGGAGCCTCGAGCCTCGACCTCCTGGGCTCAAACAGTCCTCCCACCTCAGCACCCCAAGTAGCTGGGACTACAGGCACACACCACCATGCCTGGGTAGTTTTTGTACTTTTTGTAGAGATAGGATTTTGCCATATTGCCCAGTCTGGTCTTGAACGCGTGGGCTCAAGTAATCTGCCCACTTCTGCCTCCCAGAGTGTTGGGATTACAGGCATGAGCCACTGCGCCCGGCCTAGGTCATACTTTTATCTTTGCTTGTCTCATAATTTTTTGTTGAAAACTGGACATTTTAAATAATGTAATGACTTTGCATTATCATTTTTTCCTTTGAGGGTCTTTTGTTGTCTTTTGTTTGTTTCTTTGTTTTTGTTATTTCCTGCACTTCAGTTGCAGGATCTGTATCTCCCACATTATGTGGCTATGGATATCTCAGCTCACATCTTCTCTTCTGCTTTTTAGCTTGGCTTCGAGAGGTCTGCCCTTTGTCCACCTGGCTGATTGGCCAGCTGATGATTTGGGCGGGGGTTGCCCATGCACCTTGAATCCACAGGGGCTCCACTGTTGGTTGAGGCACTGTCAGCTGTGGGGTGAATGCGCTCAGCGCTCACAGCCAGTTCTCAAGCCCTTGTTGGCGCCTTCCTCCAGCCCCTGAGGTGTCCTCAGTGCGTGCTTTCCCGGTCAGCCGGCGAGTTGTGGACAGTTTAAGAAGCCCTTCTGTGGCGCTCTCATTTCCAGGGTTCTCCCTATTAGATTTCTGTCTCCTCTGCCACTCACCCCAACTGGGACCTCAGTCTCACGGGAACAGAGCTGCAGGCTTCCCTATTTATTCCCTTCTGAGTTCACTGCTTTTACTGCTTCACCCTCTGCCTGACCAGGCTGCTGTTTTTGGCAGCAGGGTTGGTTTGCACTGGCATCCCTGCAGTCACAGAACTCCTGTGCCCGATGCAGACTGAGTCAGGGGCGGAGTACAGGTGCAGGACATGGAAAGGGTCCCAGACAAGAAAGTCTGGCGACTTGCTGTTCTTCCCTGAAGTTCTAGCTGATTTACATGAATAGATGTGTCTCAGTATTTTCCTTGGGCTGATTTCCAGAGCCTCAGAATGGTTGCCTTTGACAATTGTGTTCAGTTTTACATTTGCCCTGAGGGAAAGGAGCCACTGACCTCTTCACTCCACCATATCCATAACCGGAAGTCACATCTCTGCTTTGTTTTGGAGAATCTGTGTGTAACCATTTAGAAGCAGTGTGAGCCCAGTGGAGCACCGCCGTCCCCTCTCTACTCTGTCGTCTTCACCAGTTCCCTTGTCCGTGTTCACATGTGGGAAGTGAAATTTTCTGCACTAGGCATAGGATGCAGAACCAGTGGCTCTACCTGAGTCTGTCTGTGGAATGAGGTACACCTTTCCTCTCTGTGCAGCTTCTTCAGTCCCAGTCTCTTGGGGTCCCTCCTTTTCCTTGCATGGAAGGCCCTGGTCAACTCAGGGTGTCAGGAAAAGCCCACTTACCTTTGTATTTGCTTTGTAACTACTTGGCAGAATGTGACTGACTTTAATTCATACCATTTATTGTTTCACTAAATAGGTTTTTTTTTTCTTTCCTCTTAGGCTGAACAAGCTCCAAACACTTGTGAATGTCATGTTTGTAAACAAGAAGCTTCTGGACTGACACCATCTGCAATGACAGCCGGAGCCCTTCCTCCTGGCCATCAGTTCATGAGCCCAGAGAAGCCCACACACCCTGCACTGCACCTTTACCCTCACATCCATGGACACGTGCCTTTGCACACTGTTCCACACCTGCCACGCCCCCTCATCCACCCCACCTTGTATGCAACGCCCCCCTTCACACACAGTAAGGTAAGTAAGGGCAAAAAGGGTCTGAAAGCTCACTCTTCCCTGAGATCTTGCAGGAGTACGTAGTCAAACAAACAGAAATCTATGAATTAGCAACTTGCGTAGGATAGCATCTGCTCTCAGTAGGAAGGTCTGCAAGGGTTTCCTTTCACCATAATCTCTTAAGCCCTGTAATTTTGAACCTTTACAGTTGTAACAATCATTAACAACAACTGTGAAGATCATAGTCCTTTTATTCAGAATTAAATAGAACAGAAGGATTTTTCAGGTGATACTTCTAACAGGTTAAACCTAGGGAATACTTCCACAGAAGACCAGTTATCTGCTTGTGATCTTCCAGGGCTTGCTCTTTTTCTTAACGTGATAGGTAAAATAATGTGAATATAACATGAGTCCTCTAACGCTGGCTGGACTCCACAGGGTCTAAAATGACTATACTTCTTTAGCATTTAGAAATACACAAGCCTAAATACAGGAGGAGCCCTTAGCGTGATGCCACAGAAAATTATAACGCCCTGCAGGTTATGGAGCACTGGGGAGGGGAGGGTACAGACAGGAGAAGCTGCCAGAAACCCAGTGTGAAGAGCCCATTCAGGAAGTGGAGTGAGGATCTAGAAATAAGTTGATTTTTATGCATTTCTTCTAAGAGAACCTCATGTGTTTACTTAGTATCTTAGCCGTTACAGCGAAATTTTTAGGCTGGTTTCATTCTTTGGACCTTAGATAGCTTTTCCTCTCTAGTTATTTTGAGCTTACCTTTATTAGAATGACTCACTGTAATTCTGATTGTTTTCTTTTTTTTCTTTGTACCAGTTATTCTTGTCCAAAGGTAGCTCTGATCAATCAAAAATATAATTTATTTTAAACTCTTAATTTATTATTTAAAACAATGATTTTAAGCTGGAACAGAAAGGGAGGAGGACATGACATGGAATGATTTTTTCCAAACACGTGTGTTTTCTCCCCTCCAGGGGTCACTGTGAAGTGGGGTACATGTAGCCCATAAGTGAGCTTTGTTGTCTGTTTGCTAGGGAGAGGCGCAGGTGGAAGATTAACAGACACAGGTTTAGAATAGAGTGTAATAAGTTTGTCACATCTGTTGTAATTACTTGACACAACCATCCAAATTCATGCTTAAATTTTGTTAGATTGAATATTGCTCAGTTTGAACATTTAATGATGTCTTAATAATAGAATGCTTTTTAATAGCATTTTTCAGGTATATAGTCAGAACTAGGCTATCTTCATGGCCCACCTGGTTTGTAGCCTGATTTTCTCTGGGTGTATGTGTAAAGTTAGGAAGTTTTTCACTCCTTGCTATTGCCTGAATAGAGGTCTGTTACCTAGTTCCAAGAAAAGATAATATTCTGTTATATATTTTTGCTGGTGGAAGCTATTCAAGAATTAGTTCCTAAAAATATTCAAGTAAAATAGTAAAATTGATTATTACTAAAGACTGTGGGGCCCCTTTGGTTAAAAATTGATTATTTTTCCCTGGCTTTTGGCCTTTTCTCAGGAAATTAGAGATCTATATATGGGTAAAAGAAGAAAAACATTTTAGGAGCATCATTTGTATCTATTATTTGTTCTTTTGATACCTGTTAAACTGTAATCATATAGAAAGATTAGAATAGAAAAGCAAATATGGATAGAAAAGCAATTATGGCGGTCAAGCCATATGCGGTAGAAGTCGTATAGAAATTTAGAAATTTATAACTAAATGTTATTTCTACCACTTTTGTCAACTGAAGACTATTCACTGATTCATTTAAAATATGTTATGTGGTGGCCATTATTATGTGGAAACATAAGATACAATTATCAAAATATTTCATTTGCATCTGGTATGAAAATGTTCATTACTATAAACAAACTTGAATTGTCACTTACCAGGTCTTACAAGATTAGTTTGTGTTATTTGACTTAGTTTGACTTAGTTGGATGCTGTGACCACATCTGTGCCTAAATGCATAATGCATTAGCAGCCCTGAAGGGGTCTCCTGGTCCACCAGTGAGTTGTGGACAGCATAAGAAGCAAATGAGCTGTATCAGAATAGCACAGATTTCAGTGACATTGGAGGATGTTTCAGAAAGCAAACGAGCTGTATCAGAATAGCATGCATTTCAGTGATATTGGAGGAAGTTTCTTAGAGATAATCAACAGGAGGATTGTTGGGTAAGAAGTTCTGAATGTAGGGAGGCAGAAGGTGGGTGCTTAACGTGGAGGGGGCCTTGTGTGCTTCTGACCTGCCACTGTGTCTGCCCTCACTTTTGCATTGTTGAGGCCTTGGGGAGTTCCTGCTGTGCTGCAGTCACAGTTGTTGCCTTTTAAGACGTTATGTCATTGTAGTTGTAATTCTTTTAATTCATATTTTTGGCATTGTGGGTAAATATTTAGTACCTAAAATGTTTAGCATGAGTACTATGAAAAATTTATTTTCTGGCCAGTTGTAGTGGCTCACGCCTGTAATCCCAGCACTTTGGGAGGCTGAGGTGAGAGGATTGCTTGAGCCTGGGAGCTCAAGACCAGGGCAACATAGTCCTGTCTCTACAAAAAAAAAAAAAAAAAATTCTTGAAATTAGAAAGACTTGAAGACTAATTTCTATTTTGAAGTGTCTTCCATGCACACGTATGTTTATTGCAGCACTATTCACAATAGCAAAGACTTGGAATCAACCCAAATGTCCATCAGTGACAGATTGGATTAAGAAAATGTGGCACATATACACCATGGAATACTATGCAGCCATAAAAAAGGATGAGTTTGTGTCCTTTGTAGGGACATGGATGCAGCTGGAATCCATCATTCTTAGCAAACTATCACAAGAACAGAAAACCAAACACCGCATGTTCTCACTCATAGGTGGGAACTGAACATTGAGATCACTTGGACTCAGGAAGGGGAACATCACACACCGGGGCCTATCATGGGGAGGGGGGAGGGGGGAGGGATTGCATTGGGAGTTATACCTGATGTAAATGATGAGTTGATGGGTGCAACACACCAACAAGGCACAAGTATACATATGTAACAAACCTGCACGTTATGCACATGTACCCTACAACTTACAGTATAATAATAATAAATAAATTTAAAAAAAAATACAAAAATTAAATTGAAGTGTCTTCATACCAGTGACATATTGAATTTATATATTGAGTATAAGTTATTTGAAAGTTCAAAGTAATTGCTGAGAAAAATACAGTAATGAAATACTACATAAAATAAAAACTGTAAGTGCCAGAGCATTTAATTTCCAAATATTTGGGGATCTCCCGACTATCTTTTTGTTACTGTTTTCTACTTTAATTCCATTGTGATCTGAAAGCATACAGTGTATAATTTCTGTTTTTTTGAGTTTATTAAGGTATGTTTTATGGCCCAGAACATGGTCTGTCTTGGTGAATGTTCTATGTGAGCTTCAGAGGAATATGTGTTCTGCCGTTGTTGGATGGGTGGTCTTCAGATGTTCGTTATGTCCAATTGATTGATGGTGCTCTTGAGTTCTGTCAGTCAGCAACTATGTTCTGACTGATTTTCTGTCTGCTGGATCTGTTCATTCTGATTGATGGCTCTTGAAGACTTCCATTGTAATAATGGATTCATCGGTTTCTCCTTGCACAGTTCTATCAGGTTTTGCCCTACAAAGTTTGATGCTTTGTTATTAGCAGCACACACATTGAGGATTGTTATGTCTTCTAGGAGAATTGACCCTTTATCATTATGTAATGCTCCTCATTACCACTGGTAACTTCCCTTGCTTTGAAGTCTGCTCTGCCTGAAATTAATATAGCTCCTCCAGCTTTCTTTTGGTTAGTGTTAGCATGGTATATCTTCCTTCATTGCTTTACTTTTTGAAAAGATTTATTATAGTAACATATGCATAATATAAAATTTACAATCTTAACCATTTTTAAGTGTAGAATTCAGTGGTCCATCTCCATAACTCTTTTCATCTTGTAAAACTGGAGGTTTTTACCCATTAAACAATAACTCCACTTTCCCCCAACCCTGGGCATCGATCATTCTACTTTATGTCTTTATGATTGTGACTATTCTAAGTACCTCATGTACATAGAATTGTACAGTATTTCTCTTTTTGTGACTGGCTTATTTCATTTCACTTAATGTCCTCAGCATTTATTCATGTTGTCGCAATTGCAGAATCTCCTTCCTTTTTAAGGCTAAACAATACTCATCGTATGGCTGTACCCTATTTTGCATCTCCATCAGTGAACACTTGAGTTGTTTCCATACAGTAGCTACTATGAGCAGTGCTGCTGCAAACATGAGTGTGCAAATATTTCAGGACCCTGCTTTCAGTTGTTTGGGGTGTGTACCCAGAAGTGGAATTTATAGATCGTATGGTAATTGTAGTTGTAATTTTTGGAGGAACTGCCACCATTTCCTACGGTGGCTGCACCATTTTACATTCCCACCAACAGTGCACAAGGGTTTCAGTTTCTCCACATCCTCATTATCACTTGTTATTTTCAGTTTTGCTTTTTTAATAGTAACCATCCTGATGGATGTAAGGTGGTATCACATTGTAGGGCTTTTTTTCTTGTGTAAATGACCGTAGACACATCGTAGTTTTGATTTGCATTTCCTTAGTGTTTAGTGATGTTGGCATCTTTTCATGTGCTCACTGACTGTTCGTGTATCTTCTTTGGAGAAACGTCTGCTCAAGTCCTTTGCTCGTGTGTGGATCAGGTTTGTTATTGCTGTTGCATTTTAGTTGTCTCTGTATTCCGGATATTTGTCCGTTATCAGATAGATGATTTGCAAGCATTTTCTCCCATTCTGTGGCTTGACTTTTGACTCTGTTGATAGTGTCTGTTGATGCACAGCGGTTAACAGTTTTTGATGCAGTACGATTTGTCTGTTCTTTGTTGCCTGTGCCTTTGGCGTTACATCCAGTAAATCATTGCCAAATCCAACGTTGTGAAGCTTTTGCCCTCTGTTTTCTTCGAAGAGTTTTGTTCTTTGCTTACATTTAGG